CAAATAAGTTATATTTAATGCTGCTGCTGCCTTTTGGTGGGGGTGGGGGGGGAGTGGCAGGGGAATGTTTTATTCAGTCTGGAAGCTCCCTCTTGGCTTCTTTCCTAAAGCTGCTGCACTCTGGTAAGAGTACAATTTAGACTCCTAAAATCATAGGACACAATGTCAGACCTTTTGCCTGCACTTGTGCTATTTCATATCAATTCTTCTTTCACTTATACTATAGAAAATGTACACTTGAGGTTCTTACTGAGAATTAAATTACTTACTATGCCCTAGTATGTGCCAGGATCTCACTTGAGGCGTTAGTCTATTAGGGAGTCTAACCAAAGGATGAAGGCCCTACGGGTGTTCTCTACACTTCAGTCCTTATATTTTTAATGATCAGACAGCAGTGCACCTGGTGCATATTGTCTTAATCCCCTCAGAGATGGTATATGTGTTGGAGGGATGTGGTAATCCAAGAAACACTCTTTGAATGTCTCTGAATGTTCTGCAAAGCTGTGGTTCAGGTTGCCCTTCTTTATCTAGTGCCTTTCTTGTAAAGAATCTACATGTTTCTAATGGAATTTGAGACAGAAGTGTTTCTATCCAGTATTTTTCTTTTTTCCTCTTAAGATTCTAGGAACTACACATAGTGTTCAGCCATAGACAGGTCACTAGCAGTAGACAATTGACAAAGAAATTTGCCTTTTTTTTTTGTTATTGTCAGTATTTGTTATAGAAAAGGCCTTAAACAAGTAGTCTTGGATGAGCCTGCCAGTTGATTTTTTTTATCACATGAGGCACTTAATAAATATTCTTACGTTCTTTTCTAAAATAATTTATTCTTTTTGAAAGGGGGTTGATATAAGATTTTTAATAACTTACAGAGTGGCTAAATAATTTTTTTCCTGGTCTTTTACATGTGGGGGGTTGAGTGTTAAGAAATAAGAATCCTTGTATAAAGGAAATTGTGTCCTCTCAGTTTTATAGCTAACATTTATTGAATGTGCCAGGCACTTTATATGAACATCTCATTCAGCTTTGCCAATGACCCTGAAAATAATTGTCATTTTCCTCATTAAAAAATAAGGTTTGAGGAATTGAGAAATTTGCTTGTGGATTTATGGCCAGTAACTGCCAGCACTAGGATACAGTTCCAGAAATCACTTAGTGTGCTTTCTAGTTGTCTCATTTGTTGTACCACAATGTAAATACATCCCTAAAATAGGAAGTTCTCTGCCCTTATTCTTGAGGAATTTGTGGTTTCGTGGATCTATTTTTCTTTCTGAGATGATCGTGATGGTCTTAAGAGCAAATATATGGCCCAAGCAAGAGATTCTGAGGGTGAATGGAACCTGTATTAATATTATCTTTAATTTTTTTCTGCACGAAACCTATTCTTTGCCACATCTAACCTCTGTAGACTTGATCATGGTATTTTAATACTCCCCTCAAACAGTTTAAGGATTGTAGATTAGGGGTGGGATAAAAATGGCACTCTAGGGGAGCCTCTACGTTATTTCGTTTGCTAGGTACTATTAAATGAATACTTACGTAGAAACAAGGTTATTAGGGTTCAGGTCCCTCTACTAGTCTTCAAAAGACCAGTCCATATATACAGTGAACCTAGTATACAAATAAAAATTTCCTAGTATTTCAGACACATTATTTAAGTATGATATGTTTTTAATGGAAAAACTTAGAATGGAAAATTTATTTTAATTTTTTTAAGTATAGGGGATATACAATATATTAGTTTCAGGTGTTCAATATAGTGATTTGACATTTATATACCTTACAATGTGATCACCACACTAAGTCTAGGAATTATCTGTCATTATGCAAACTGAACACAATATTACTGACTCTATAGAGTAAAAAGTTTAGTTTCTAAGTTGGGGATTTAATACACTTTTTTCCTGAAAAAGTATTTTTTATATTCCTTTTTAAAAATTTGTAATTCTTAAAGCTTGAAGTATTATAAGGTAATTTTAGGAACCCAATTCTGTATGTTAGAATGATCAATTTTTAATAGCTATATTCATATTATTTTGAAAATAGACACAGAATTCCTAGGACAAGGATAGATTGTTAACAGCAGTGACTGGATCAGTTCTCCTCCCCCCCGCTCTCCCCCACCCCACCCTCGCCCAGCAGTGTACTGAGAGCCAGATGTTTGGTAGGTGGGGAACCTAAAAAATATGGATCTGGAGCTTCTGTACTTATTACCTGAGAGAGCGACCGAGACCTTTGCTTCTGGTATATTTTCAATTTAAAGATGTTTCGGTCTGTTTCTAGCTAAGACTATTAATTAGGAATTGTTGAATTTATTTCTTGGTATAAAGTTGAGTATAGCATTCTCATCTAATTTTAAAAATCTATTTCTAGATGTATGCATTTTTAAAGCTTTCTTTTGGTTTTGTCAGAAATTGAGCTATAGTATTAAGTATATCAAAAAACTAAATTTTGCTTTTGTGAACAAGTCCATTTGTTTTTTATTTTTATTTTTTTCTGTTTCTGTTTGATTTGTACTTTTATAATGATCATATTTCCTTTAGGTTCATATTCTGATTTCTAATGGTCAATTCATTTTTTTCAGTCTTCATGGTTTTATTGTTTACAAATTACAAGTTATAAATACTGGTGAGATTTCATTATACATCCTATAGATTTTGATAAGGTAGTAGTTTCAAATTATTCATTAATAACAAATTTGTAATTTCAATTTTGATTTCCTTTTGCCCATTCCGGAGTGGCTTTTGACCTTCTACTCAACCCCATTTGATTCTTGAGAAGATCACCATTGTGTCCTCTCTTTAGGGCTGTAACATCTTGTGTGTTTTCCCCTCTACTTACCAGCAATACTGACCTACCTTTCTAACATGTCTATTCCTTTGAATAGATCCTTCTACTTTAAATAAATAGTTCCCCTTCTTCTCTTGATTATCTAACCCAGTGCCCTTTTAAAAATCTTTTATATAGCACTTAAGAAAGCTTTAATTTATTGTGTGCATACTTGTTTTGTTTACTGCTCTTATTCCTAGTACTTTTTACAGTGTGCAGGGTACAGTAGATAATCAGTATTTGAATGAGTGGATGGTATATAATTTTATAAAAGGGTTGGGGCAAGGAGAGGAATCTACCTGGATAAATAGGCCTGTTCTCAGGCAGATTATTTTTGGTAAAAATGCTTCAGGAAAATTGATAATATAGAAATTCTCTTAAAATTAACCAAATCTTGTGTATAGCCCTCTAGAAAGCTTTTGGGTAGTTAAGGAGAGCACATATATATTCCACTTCGAAGATTCCTAGTTAAATCATATAAGTGCAGCATTGGTAAGCAGTGGTTTTCTTTATGTACCATTTAAGGTTCATTTTTTCCTTTCTAAATACCTTACTTTACTCATTTAAGTTTTATTGAAAAGCAGGCTCATAATAAAGTAGACTCATTTCTGAGTGTAGGAGAAAGTATTAGGACATATTAAGTTATTTAAGTCTATGGGGTAGACATGGAAGCAATTGTAACACAATACAAGTAAGTCCAAAGCATGGAATGTACTTTATACCTCTGCATTAGTTTTATTCTACTCAGACATGTATAACCTTTTCTCTCTGGCTTCTTTCAGATTTTTTTTCTTAATCTTTGAGTTTCTGTAATTTGAAAATGATATGCTGAGGTGTAGTTTTTGAGGGCACTTTTTCTGCCCGGTGTTCTCTGAGTTTCCTGGACCTGTGGTTGGTAATCTGACATTAATATGGGGAAATTCTCAGTCATTATGGTTTAATTATTCTGTCTCTTTCTCTCTTTCTTCTCCTCTTGGCATTTCCGTTATACATAAATTACATGTTTTGTCATTATTTTGCAGCCCTTGGATATACTATTCTGTCCCCACCACCCCCACCCCCAGTCTTTGTACTTTTTGCTTTTTGATGTTCAAGGATTCTATTGGTATATCCTCTGGCTCAGCGTTTCTTTCCTTAGCTGTATCCAGGCTACTGACAAGGCCATCAAAAGGCATTCTTCATGTCTTTTACAGTGGTGTTAATCGCTAGCATTTCTTTCTTTTTTTTTTTTTCCTTAGGATTTCTACCTTTCTGCTTACATTGCCCATCTGTTCTTGCAAGCTATTTTATCCATTAGAGCCCTTCACTTATTAATCATGGTTGTTTTAAATTCCTGGTCTGATAATTCCACCATTCTCGCCATGTCTAGTTCTGAAGCTTGCTTTGTCTTTTCAAATTGTGTTCTTTACCTTGTATGTGTTGTCATTTTTTCTAGATAGCAGGACGTGATGTACCAGGTTAAAGGACCTGCTGTGAACAGGCCTTTAGGAATGGTGCAGGGAGAAGAGAAGGGCTCTATAGTCCTATAATTAGGTCTCTGTTTCAGTGAGCCTGTCCCTCTGTACTGTGTACACATCACAGGTGTTCTCAGACTTCACCCCACCCCTTTAGGCGTGGCAGGATGGCTAGAATGAACTAGAGTTGGGTATTTCCTTTCGCCAGGTCAGATGGGTTCCAGATAATACCTCAGCAGAATAGGTTCTGGTTAACCAGTTTCCCTGAGGGCAGGGCTTTTTAAGAAGTCTTCAGTGACCTAATCAGTGGTTTAAAGAACTATAAGGTAGATTTCTGTGTCTTTGGCAAAAGTTGGACTAGATGGCCATGCTGAAGAGTCTGAGATTTTCCTGATTTAGTTTGAAGTTGTATGACCATGAATTAAAAAAAAAAAAGTACTGTTTTGGGTTAAGACTGTTTTCTATACATTTGGTAATAAGTACTTTCTGTATATCAACTTTTTGGGCACTTAGAGATCGGCGATAGTCTCTTGCTCTCAACTAGCTCATATTTATAAGTAGAGGGAGTCTTGAGCTTTTCCTCTTTTTAAGTTTTTGAGAAGCCAGTGTGTAATTTCTATTTTTATTATTCTTAGGCTTTACAATTTCTAAAAATCAGTTTTGAGATTTACTTCCCTTTCAGATACTAACATTGTTTTTCTCTTCTTTTTATTCCTAGCAATGTCTCAGGCTGTGCAGACGAATGGAACTCAGCCATTAAGCAAAACATGGGAACTGAGTTTATACGAATTACAACGAACACCTCAGGTAATGTAGGCTAAGATAACTTAGGGGAAATATGAGACATGTAAACTGGGATACATTTTTAGAAAATAAAACTTGAAAGAACATAATAGTAATAACATTTATATACAAGCATTCCTGACTTGTATATATTTGGTTGACACTTTATTCATTGATTAAACAAATATTTTGAGTGTATACTCTGTACCAGGTCCTAAGACAGGCACTAGGTGATGTAGTGAATAAAACATGGAACCAGCCTTTAAGAGTTCATAGACATTAAACAAGCAAATATCTATGGAATTACATATTTGAGAGGTTGGGTAAAAGGAAAGTCCTCAGTGCCGTAATAAATAATGGTGGGGGGAACTAGGGAAGACTATTTTGAGAACGTAAAGATGAGAAAGACTAGGGGAAGAAGCGGGCTTGAAGGAGATAAGCATGCTTAAAACAACCTATTTTGAGTTTGAGATGCCTATGGATAGGCAGGCAGAGATGTTAACTAGGGGTCTGGACTAAATATAAAATTTTGGGGTTTGTCAGCACATTTTAAGCAATGTGAATGGAGAAGATAGCCTAGAGAGAGGAGCAGAACTGCATCCAGAGGCGCTTCAGCATTTAGCAGTTAAGTAACTGATGAGCCAGGAGAGGAGACAGAGTAGGAACAGCCAGAGAAAAATAAGAAAAAATGGGAGCTGGAGACAGGGAATTAAAATCTAAGATGAAATGTTTCAAGAAAGAGGTTGCAGATGAATAAGATGAGAATTACAAAAGCGTGCATTAGATTTGGCAGCATGTCCTTGGTGGCACTTGAGTAGATGGTGCTCCTGTGTTGAAGAGGGAAAAAGTGAAAATGCATAGGCAATTCTTCAGAGAAGTTTGGCTGTGCAGAGGAGCAGAGAAATGAAGCAAAAACTGGAAGGGAACATAGAATTGGGAAGTTTTAAATTTTGTTTTCTTTATAGGATGGGCGATAGAGTTGTGTTGACACCTGACACACACACCCCTCCCCACCAGCGCTAAGGTGCATCATTGTACATCTCTCTGCAGCAGCCCTATGGAGGTACTAAGCGAGGCTGGTTTAGTGAAGAGGGAGAGATTGCTGAAGCCTGAGAAAAACTAGAATAAGCCAAAAAGTGATATACTTGAGATGGTAGGAAGGAATGTACTTCTGATAGGAAGAGGCATCCTTCCTCCTTGTAGCAAGAAAGAAGATTTATCAAGATTTCATAGAGGGAAAATGAGAGCTCTCTCTTTTAATGAAATTTGAGGTAGGGTAATCTATGGAACGTTCCAGGAGAAAGAGGTCTGCAATTAGAAGAAAAGATACAGTGTACCAAAAGGAAAAGTGAGTTTGTTAGAGAAACGAGTTGCTGAGCAGTATTTAACACCCATTTGAGGCTGGTGAAATTTTTAGTGATACCCGTCTGGTTGTGAGATTCCCCCTCTCTTTCCCCCACAGTGCTACACACCTGTACAGATTTAGGCATGGAGAACATGGATGGTTGAGTTTATCCAAGGTTGGTATTTTGCTAGGCAAGTTCTTTCTAATTAGGAAGGGGAGGATAGACTTTTACTAGCTGAATCATCATCATACTCTGTTTCCTCATCTCTAAAATGGAGGTTATAATTCCTAAATCAAAAGTTCATGTACATATTTAAGATAAAATACAGAAAGTGCTTTATAATGAAATATATTATAATTATCTTGAAATATAATGGACACTTGATAATAGTGATAGTTATTATAAATGTAAATATATTTTACTCGAGTTCTTTATGAACAATATCTATAGTTTCTCTCTCTTTCCTGGTGGAGTCATCAGTCTTTGACCCTAATAAGAAAACAAGAATAATGGAGAGGCAGTGGAAACAGGAAGCAGCATTAACATATGGGAAGCCCTTATTTCTCCTTGCATCTTCCTTTTCAGTAGTCACCTACTAGACCTCTTTCCTCAATCCATAGGAGTCAGTGTTGGTGGCTTTAGAGCTAGGTAATTTTCTTCTCGATGCCACTTTGTGGGAAGGGTGGGGGTGGTGGGGGGGGACTTCTTCCTACATAGGAGTCACTGATCTCTTTGCAGCTGGGAGAGGTGCCCTGGAATTCTACACTGGAACTCCAGATGCGTTTCCTCACTGAAACATTTTTAGACAGGACAAGTAGAAATACTAATACTTGTTATCCTTCAGATGTACTATAGTTTAAATCAGTTTGTAGGTTAGCCCGACCACTTTGTTATAAAACTGCTTCTGTGGACCAGACTTTTTAAGATTCAAAAAGTGATTTTAAAATGAAATCCTGTTGAACTGTATATAAAATAGAGTATATATTGGAATCTTAAAATAATTTAATGGATGGTATGAAATGTATATTTTACAATAGTCTTTTATCAGCAGGACTGCGTTCTCAGACCTCCAGTGGATGCCTGAAATTATAGATAGTACCAAACCCTACATATGCTATGTTTTTCTTATATCTACCTATGATAAAGTTTTATTTAGGAATCAGGCAATTTCATGGATAGATTTGTTCTTACTATAGATCTTAGCGACCTCAGCATACAGTATTTTTTTCAATCCTAAGGAACAGTTATTAAGTTGAGAACTTTCACCTTTTCACTTAACGGAAGCACTTTATGGCTTCTCTGGCATATCGAAATTGTCAGCATCATTACTCTTGCACTTTGGGTCCATTATGAAGTTAAATCAGGGTGACTTGAACACAAGCACTGCGATACTGAGACACTTGATCTGATAACTGAGAGGGCTACCGCGTGACTAATGTGTGCCGTGTATACAGCAGCCATACGCTTGGCAAAGGGATGATTCGTGTCCCAAGTGGGAAGGGGGAGATGGCATGAGATTTCATCACATACTTAGAATGCTGCACTATTTAAAACTTCCGAATTTAGTTTTGGAACTTTCCATTTAATGTTGTCAGACTTAGTTGACTGCAGTTGACTACGGCTGATTGTAGTTGGGCGGGTGACTGAAATCTCAGAAAATGAAAGTGTGGATAAGGCGGGGGCTACTGTATTTCAGAATGGTGTGAATGTTGAAGACAGGAGCATTCTTAGGGTTCATTTAGCCCTAATTTTCTTATTTTGCAGGGTAAGAAAACAATTATTTAGACTCACATAACTAGTTAATATAGCTAGCACTGGAACCTAAGGCATCTGAGTCTGAATGCAATGTTTTTTGTTTTTTTTTTTATTATACCAGGCTAATTTACCATTAGTTGTCTTTAAAACATATTAATATGTTATCTTTAGCATTAAAATAAGAGCATTTATATAATGAGGTTGGGGGAGACAGGAGAATTGGGGGAAATTAAAGCTAAAACAAGATTGGCTGTGAATTGACAGTGGAAGTGGCTGGATGAAGGGTATGTTGATGTTCATTTTTGTCATCTTCAGTATTTGTATATTTGTACTTGCCCATAATAAAAAAATAGGTAGCATTTAATTTTAAGGAGACTCTTTTGTAGGAGGCAATAACGGATGGCTTGGAAATTGTGGTTTCACCTCGAAGTCTTCACAGTGAACTAATGTGCCCAATATGCTTGGATATGTTGAAGAACACCATGACTACAAAGGAGTGTTTACACCGTTTCTGTGCAGACTGCATTATCACGGCCCTCAGAAGTGGGTATGTTGAAATGTGTTATGCTAGATACTTAAATTGCACCGGGACAGTGCGTGCCCTGTGGGTTTTGAGTGCTCAGGTATTCATTTGAGAATTGGAAATTTTTCTGAAGTCTAGGTTTTAATTATTGGAGAATCTTTGTTTTGAAACAGTTGATTTTACACAATTTTAGAAGCTTTAGAAGATGAGTATTTGAGGAAATTACAAAGAATAAAGCCATGGTTTTACCACTTCTTAAGTATATAAAATAATATTTATGTGCTGTTTTAATAAGAGAATCGATAACATATAAAGTAATATATATTAGTCAGTAGGTTTTTCTTATATGACATGGATATCAGAAAGGGGAAATTTATATCAGGAAAGAATAAATTTCTATGTCTAAAATGGTTATATATAAATTATCATTCTGAAGTATTTTTCTCTATTGGAAAGTAGTATAGAATGTCTGCAGTTTCCAAAATTTTGCTTACCCACTAGTCAGATTTTCAAGAACGTTTAGGTTAATTAGTTTAAATTTCTGTGGCTTAGTAAAGGTATTAGAATAAAGATGATAACTATCTAGAAACTAGATATTTTTGTCTTTAGCCTGAAGATACTGGAATTGTTTACATTTTTTTCTCTTTTTTTATTTAGCAATAAAGAATGTCCTACCTGTCGGAAAAAGCTAGTTTCTAAAAGATCACTAAGGCCAGACCCAAACTTCGATGCACTCATCAGCAAAATTTATCCAAGTCGTGATGAGTATGAAGCTCATCAAGAGAGAGTATTAGCCAGGATCAACAAGCACAACAATCAGCAAGCACTCAGTCACAGCATTGAGGAGGGGCTGAAAATACAGGCCCTGAACAGGTATATGGGAAAGAAGGTTTTAGAGGGTGGCCATTTTTCTGAATATTTTATTTAATGTCACATTTACTTAACAGCCTCCGTTTTTCAAAAGACAAAGTACAAAAACAAATCGTAATTCTGCATGGCTATATTTTCATGCAGGTGCAGTCTATGGCTCCAGGTATAATATATGCCTCTAGGTATAATAGGTGTTCTCTTTAAAATACTAGAACTTTTAAAAGCCTTCTCTCATACCCACTTCTCTCTGCACTTCCCTGCCATTCTGTTTCTCCTCGTTATAGCATAACTTCTTGAAAGAGCTGTCTTTGCTCACTGTCTCTCTCCTTCTCCCATTCCCTTTCGAACCTTCTGTGGTCAGGCTTTCACCTTCACCCCGACCCACGTATCATCTTCTTCATAGTTACCGGTGATATTCACATTGTAAATTCTAATTGTTGATTCGCAGACCCCATCTTAGCATTTGACAAATTTATTTTCCTTTAAATAGTTTTTTTCAGCTGGCTTTCAGGAGGCCATATTTTCCAGGTTCCGTTTGTATGTGATTAGCTGTTTCTTAAACTTGCTATGTCCAGTACAGAACTTTTTTGTTCTTACCCTCTCCCTGTCTTCATTCTTGATCATTTCAGTTGATGGCGGCTCCATCTTTCCACCAACTTTAGCAAAAAACTTTGGAGTCACCCTTAACATCTCTCCTTTTTTCTCACATTATGTATTCCAATCTGTGAATAAATATATTTTATCTTTCTCCATAATATATCCAGATTGGTCTAGGCCACTGTCATCTTCCATTTGAAGTACTGAAAAAGCCTCCTGATTGGTGTTTCTGCCTTCCGTGCTTACCCCCACGGAGTCTGTTTTCAGCACAGCAAATAGCCAGAGTGATTCTGTTAAACTGAAAGTCAGATCATGGTTCTCCTTTGCTTCAAAGTCTCTAATAGCTTCTGTTCACATTCAGGTTAAAAGGCTTTAATGAAGGCTTCCATAATCTAGCTACCTTCTACCTGCATTCTGTTTTCCTCTCTTCCTCTCTGACGTCTCTTAATATATTCTCAAGAAGAGTCGTTTTCCAAAGTAGGAGATGTCAGTAGAGCCCCATCCATACCTAGTCGTTCTCACCTTGTCTGAACATCAGAATGACTTGGGCGTCAGGTAATACCCTAGAGTCTCTGGGTCCAGGCATCAGTATTCGTAAGATTCCAAGAGTGGTTTTAAAGTACAACCTGTAGCCACTGGCTGAGAGGTTAAAAGATGGGCTCCATTCTCACTATATTAAACTGATTTACAATTCTGTATAGCAAAGTAAAATAAGGCATTAAATATTGAATATTTATTTTAAAAGATTTATACAATCCTAAGAGTTGGAGGGACTTTAATGGTTATTCAACTTAGCCTTTTACTGGGAGAGAGAATCCCCATTGCAGAATCCTATAGCTAGTTCTTCGGTTTTGCTTGAACATTTCTTGTGGATGGGAGTATGTGGTAAGAGCTCCTTTCGCTTGCTGACAGCTTTATTACAGCTTCCTTACTTTCTTTCAAACTCACCAAGCTTCGGCTTCAGGGCCTTTGTACTTAACTGTTCTCTCTCTCAGGAACCCTCCTCTTCAAGATAATCCACAGGGCACCCTTTCTCACTTTCTTCAGGTGTCTGTTACGTTCCTGTCTTTCACCTTAGGACTCCAAACTTTCTTGCCTTCCCTGCCTCAATTTTCTCCACGGCACTTATCTCTGATATGTATGTGTTATCTGCCGCACTAGTATAATATAAGCCCTAAGAGGGTAGAGACTGCCAGAATTATTGATTCTTATAATACTAGGACATGGAACCATGTTTGGCTTAAAGTAGCTGCTCAGTTAATGTTTTTGAATGCATGATTTTTTTTTTTTTTTAAAGTTTTTCCTTTGTATTGAAATAACAGTCTCTTGTGCAACAGTCTTGGGTTTGTCTTTGTCAAAATACTTAAGTTGAATTCTACATTTATTTTAGATTCTGCTTCTGTCTGCTAGTTCTTCAAATAATTTCCCATAGACACACCTTATTATATGCACTTTTAAAGGTTAAATATTCACAGTCCTGATTTATTATAGTTCTTCATGTGACATCCAAGTTTGTTGGTATAATTCTTGAAATGCTACCTCTAGAACAATGTGTAGTATTATAGATATGATTTGATAAATGCAGGATATAATAGGCTATTGATCTCCATTATCTGAACATTATTCTATGAAAGCTGCCTGAAATAAATTAATCGAGCTCTGCAACCTCAAACCGTTTTGGGGAAGAAGTGTGGGATAAAAATAAATACATTAGGACAGGTAACCATGTCAGATCACTTTATAGTCGGCTGAAACAACTTTTCTTTTGCTTTAGTTTTAGGTTTTAGACAATATATAAGTATAGTCCTCACAGTTTGTTTTGTTACCTTGGCCTGTTTATACTTTCTTAATTCTGATAAAACTCACATAACATAAAATTTAGCATAACCATTTTTAAGTATAAGTTCACTAGTGTAAGTACATTCACATTGTTGTACAACCAATTTCTAGAACTTTTCATCTTATAAAACTAAAACTCTGTACCTATAAATCCACAATAATTCCACATTTCCTCCTCCCCTCAGCTCCTGGTAATCACTATTCTGCTTTCTGTTTCTATAAATTTGACTACTTTGAATACTTTAGTTTAATCCTGCGGTATTTGTCTTTTTGTGACTGGCTTATTTCACTTAGCATGTCTTCAAAGTTCATTTATATTGTAGCATTTGCAGGATTTTCTTTTTAAGGCTGAATAATATTGCATTATATGTATTCTTATCTTTTTGAATCATAGTTTTATTATTTAACATATTAGTCATCTTGCCTAAGCAGTGGGCTGTTATTTCCTTGTTCTGGCAATAAACATGTAATAATTACACTGTTTTTAGAAGTGCATGTTCTTCTTCTATGTTTCTTTTTCATCATTTACCCCTTCTTGTATATACAGGTAGAAAAAGGAGTGGTGTGGTTGAAAGAATGTGTATCACATCCTAGTTCTAGTTCTGTCACTTACTGGCTTAACCATGGGCCTTACACCTGTTTCTTCCATTTTCTCAATTATAAAATGATGATAATGCCTTGACTGTTGTTTTATTGAGTAAGATATATGTGCAAAGCACCTTGCCCAGCTATTTGTATTTAGAGTTTAGCTTGTTAGATTGCTGTTTCCATATCCATGCTCCTTATTTACATACCACCTCATTTGCCTCATTAACATAATTTTGCATTGCATTAGCAGGCTTCGGGTGAGGTCAGCAAGGAGGGATTGCTTACCATTCCTCTTAAATTTTGTTTCAGTAAGAATTTCTAATTAAAGAGGCATAAATATCTTCCCTCAGAACTTTTAAATATTCTTATCTGAATCATGCCTTTATTTAGATTTAAAATCTCAAAGAGGTATCAAAATGTAAATAAGGATTGCCAATAATTCTTATAGTCAATAAAGAAAATTATTAAGTGAATATAAATATTTGTTTAAGTTATTTAAATGGTTGTCTCTGTGTGAGTGGGGTTCTCTAGGACCTTTCAGGGACATGTGGGAAATCCATTATCCAACTTGGAGCAAATTCAGTACTCAAGATTTTCTTTTAGAACTCTATTAAAGCTCAGTAAACATGCTTCAAAATTGATTCATTGAAAAGGCCTAAGTGTAAATTTTCTGCAACTTTTTTTTTTTTCCCCATTAACTAGATTACAGCGAGGCAAGAAACAACAGATTGAGAATGGTAGTGGAGCAGAAGACAATGGTGACAGTTCTCACTGTAGTAATGCATCCACACACAGCAATCAGGAAGCAGGACCTAGTAACAAACGGACCAAAACATCTGACGATTCCGGGCTTGAGCTTGATAATAACAATGCAACAGTGGCAATTGACCCAGTAATGGATGGTGCTAGTGAAATCGAGTTAGTATTTAGGCCTCATCCCACACTTATGGAAAAAGATGACAGTGCACAGACAAGGTAAGTGTGTGGGTTAGTTTTAGATTATCCACATTCAGAAAATTTAACGGGAGTTTAAAGCCAATTTTGCATAAGAAATAAAAGCAATGTTTGTCATCCCATTGAATGCTAGGGCTCATTTGGTTATTCTGGCTGTCTAGGTGGTTTCCTTTTTCATGTGCTTCCCACCCACAGTTGTATATCTGAAAGGAATGAGCCTCCTAGGTAGACGAGGAAAAGGAATCATTTAAATTTTTGACATTGATACTAGTGTACCAATAGGCTCTAAAATTTATTCCTGCAAGATGACTCCTTCACCACTGTACCTTCTCATACTGCCTGCCCATGAGTGCAGATAAGCATCAAATATTTGTTCAGTGAGTGCGTGATGTGTACCATGCTTTAAAAAGAAGATCCCAAGATTAGCACTTTTCTGTTCAGTCTTAAAAATCAGAAAATCGATGAATTCTTAGACAATAAGAAATTTGCTCATATTCTTACTATTCTTGGTGTAGGCAGCAGAACTTTGGTCATTGGGGTTGAGGGATATGTTCTTTTCCTCAGTACTGTTTTTACTGAGTACTCGTATATTTGTTTGATTTTTTTGTCATATTTTATGGATGGTGAGGTAGGTGGCCTGGTAGATAAAATAGTGAGCATGTACTTTCCCCTCTTCTGTACCTTTCAATACGAAATTACTAGATAATAGAGGAATAAATTTCTGATACTATTTTTGTTAACAGTCGACATATTTACATTTTATAGAAATGTTTTCTATAACCTTGAGTACATTTTCATCGTTGATCTAGAAATTAAATTTTTAATGATTTATTTTTTCAGATACATAAAGACTTCAGGTAATGCCACTGTCGATCATTTATCGAAGTACCTGGCTGTGAGGTTAGCTTTAGAAGAACTTCGAAGCAAAGGAGAATCCAACCAGATGAACCTTGATACAGCCAGCGAGAAGCAGTATACCATTTACATAGCAACCGCCAGCGGGCAGTTCACTGTGAGTATTTAAAATAATAGGCTGTTCAGACCGGGAACGCATTGGCCATCTGAGGTTGGCCAGTGGTGGGTGGGGTGGGGCCTAATAACATGGTGCAGGACAGGACCTTGCGAACCCCTGAGAGAGAGAACAGAGTGGTTAAACTTCTTGATACCTCTTATGTGTTCTTTTACAAATAGTGTAAGCGGCAAGAAGTTTATCCTGAGATTTTTTTTTTTTAAGGTGGACTTTTATGTTTGTTCCATCTCACTATTATTGTGCTTTGAGCAGTTTTCATAATTCTTTCTTTTTTTGTTTTAGGTATTAAATGGCTCTTTTTCTTTGGAATTGGTCAGTGAGAAATACTGGAAAGTGAACAAACCCATGGAACTTTATTATGCACCCACAAAGGAGCACAAATGAGCTTTTACTAAAACCAATTCTAAGAATGAACTTTTTTATAGCCTATTTCTTTATTATTAAAGATGTATCGTCATTACTTTTATGGACAGAATCTTGGATATGTTGTTCAGTTTTCTTCCTGAGCCAGACTCGTTTACACTATTAGAATCTTTCCCCTTAATTTAAGATTTCCTTTTTGGAAGGGACTACAATTGTTTAGTACTTTTCTTTCCTTTAAAAAATATATCTAAGTTGTATGTCTTCACAAAGTATGGTTCCATTTGGAGCACCCTTTGACCCAGGAATTTTTCATAGTTCAGTATTCTTAAGATTCAGTTGGCCATCCTTTTCCCTCCCCTCAAGAGTTTAGGCCTTACAGAATGTTAATAATATGTATTTTGACTTTTTTTCCTGGAGTCTTGTATATTTATAGTTTTCTATATAAGCTGTAGTATCTTCATGAAGACCAAGGCTCAAATTTACTGTGCTTAAAAAAATTCTCATAGGATTATTATTTTCATGGTATTTTCTTCCATAATATCTCATTTTAACAAAAGGTTCTTTATGAACTTAGTGTCCATTGTCATGCAATGTTATTTTTTTTTTTTTTTCCATTTTTCCCCCGCTGTAATTTTGGAATTTATGATCCTGGGAAAGAGAATCAAACAAAATCTCAAGTTCTATGAGAACTTGGTTCATTTACAGATTTCACTGAAGAAAGAAATATTATATTGGTCTTGTGTAGTCTTCAAGTGTATATTTGAAGAGGTCTTTCTTCGCATTAGTTCTCCTGTCACTTCAGTTCTTCTATTATGTGTTTGATGTTTTTTTCCTATTAAAATACCAGAGATATGGAGATATTTTGCACTTTAGCCTTGATGAAAAGTACAAGATATGTTCAGAGCTTCCCTAATTCTTTTTTTGTTAGCTACGTAAGTTAAGAATAATATGGCACATAGAACTAATAGCAGGAAAAAAAAAGTTTGCTTCTGTTTGGAAAGTGTGTTAAGCATTTCGTGTTGCCATATATCAGTTTATAAAATTTGGTGCTCTGCTAATTACACTCTAAAGAAGCAAGTTAGTGGAGCTCGAGCCCTGCCTTGGCATGTAGTAAAAGATAATTCTGTAGGAAAAATGTCAAGCCAGTTAGGTAAAAGTCATTCTGCTCTTCTTAGTTTTATACTGAGGGATAGTGTTTGGCATTTGGACCCAGAAGGCTTTATGATGACAGGTCAGAAATAAGATGGACTTGTGTGTTATTTTTCATCCCTGTCCTGATTTCAGGTATGTTTCCAAGTTTATATTACAGTATTGCATTGAGAAATAAACCCTAAAGGGTTTTTGCCATGGGGGGACTAGTCCTCTCGAACCATTGTAACTAAAGCCTGTCTATTCATTATAACTATTTATCTGTCATTTTTGACAGATTGGGGCCAGCTTGACGTTTTAAATTCTTCAGTCCAATATGAAAATTTAGAGGCTTATTCAGGTTTTTACCATTTTATTAAAAATACTTAAAATCTGTTTTTACAGGTTTTTTTTTTGGTAATCTGTGCCATGAAATTTGAAAACCACCAAAAACCAAGGGAAATTTTGTATTCAATTCCTTTTCTGGTGTAATATTAAGTTGTATAGATTATTGATGCATGTCCACTCAATATAACCCTGGTTTTGTGATATAACTGTTTAGAGTTTATTGGTGACATTAGATTAGTAGTTGCATTAAATAACTAAATTCCCATTGTGATTATTGAAATTTTGTCTTTAAGCAAAAAGTTATTTGTGAATATAAGCTTTGTGCTTAGAGAATGTATGTATCAGTCACTATGGGAGGATGTAAACTCTACATCATTAGTGATTTCATTGGACGTGTAATCCTTTGCAAAATATAAGTATTTGAGCATCAATGTAGTGTTGTGTGTGTGTGCGCGCATGTGTATGTTTTGGGTGGGAGGGTACTTTTGTTCATCGCCACCAACCAAGATTTCATAAAGTATTATCCGAGAATTCTGTAACCACCATCTCAACTGAGGAACAAAGGTCACTGAATGTGGTGAGGGCCTTTGGATACATCGTCATTTTAAAATTTATTGTAAAATACAATTAAATTTACCATTTTAACCATTTTTAAGCATACAATTCATTGGCATTAAATGCATTCACAATATTGTGTAACCACCACCACTATTTCCAGAATTTTTTTATTACCATAAACTCTATACCCATTTAACAGTAATTCCCCATTTCCTCTTTGTACCCCAGCCCCTGGTAACCTCTATTCTATTTTCTCTTTGAATTTGACTAATTTTAGGTACCGTATGTAAGTGGAATCAATTCAATATTTGTTCTTTGTGTCTATCTCATTTCACGTAGCATGATGTTTTCAAGTATCATTCATGTTGTAACATGTATCAGAATTTCATTCCTTTTTATGGCCGAATATTTCATTGTATGTATATACACATTTCGTTTATTCATCTGTTGATGGACACTTAGATTGATGGACACTTTTTGCTATTGTGAATAATGCTACTCTGAACATTTTTGTATACATATCTGTTTGAGTTCCTACTTTAATTCTTCTCAGTATATACCAAGGAGTGAAATTGTTGGGTCATATGATAATTCTGTGTTTAATTTTTCGAAGAACCCCAAACTGTTTTCCAAGGTGGCTATACAATTTTACATTCCCACCAGCAAAGTATTCCAGGTTTTCTACATCCTCACCAACAGCTTGCTTTTTTTTTTTTTTTTTTGAATAGCTATCGTAATGGGTGTAAAGTGTTATTTTATTGTGGCTTTCATTTGCATTTCCCTAATGGTTTGCTATGCCAAGCATCTTTTCATGTATGTATTGGCCATTGTATATCTTCTGTGGAGAAATATCTAGTTCAATCTTTTACCCATTTTTAATGGTGGTGTTTTTTTTTGTTGTAGGAGTTCTTTATATATTCTGGATATTAATACATTATCAGATATGTGATTTGCAAACATTATTTTTTTATTCTGTGGCTTGCCTTTTTACTTTCTATAGTGTCCTTTGCACAAAAGTTTTAAATTTAGTGAAGTTCAGTTTGCCTATATTTTGTTGTTGTTGCCTGTGGTTTTGGTGTCATATCCAAATACAATGTCATGATTTTCCGTTTGCCTATATTTTGTTGTTGTTGCCTGTGGTTTTATAGTTTTAGTTTTTACTTTTAGGTCTTTGATCCCTTTTGAGTATTGTATTTGTTGAAAGGTAAGGATTCAACATATAGACATCCAGTTTTCCCAGCATCTTTTGTTGAAAAGATGCCCTTCTGCCTTGGATTGTCTTGGCAGCCTCACTCAAAAATTAATTGACCTTATATGTGAGGGTTTATTTCTGGGCTCTGTTAACGACTGTACTTTTGCCAGTATGATACTATTTGTTATTGTAGCTTTGTAATATAGCTTTATGCATCATTTTAAATCCTCTGAACCTTGTGAGAAAGACAGTATTTCCTTTGTATATTTGAGAAAACTGAGACTCAGGATTCTTAGATAACTGAACATGAAATAATTGAAATGCCAGATGAGAAAAGGAGTCATCTTAAAATCCTCATTACATACCTACTTGTGCAGGGCTGTATGCATCTCAAGAAAAAAAGAAAGGAGGTACTAATCTAACCTGTGGCAGAACTTGAGGCTCTGTATGCAGGAAGTGAAGGCTAAGGCAGAGTTGTAAACTTCATGTTGGCATGTTGAAGGGATGTCCCAGCACATTCACAGAGCACTTCATCAAGCCTGGGAGAGTTATTGTTTCAAGGCATTTAAGGAATTTTCTGTCCAACCATTTGCTGACTTTTAAGCTAACAAAGCAGAATATAGAGGTCACACAGCAAAGAATGCTGACTTTACAGAATTAGTCCAGGAAGTTCACTAATCAAACAGCAAACACCACCCACACCAAGGATTTGAAGGGATTCTTTTGTCCAGATGTGCCACATTATAGTATTTTAAATGTCTAGTTTTCAGCAAATTTACAAGACATACAAAGAAATAGGAAAGTATATTTAAGCCCCAGATGTTGGGCTTAATTAAACAAAGACTTAAATCAGCTTTTAAAAACATGTTCAAAGAACTAAAACCATGTCTTAAAACTAAAATGTGAAAGGTCTTTCATCAAGTAGAGAATAAAAATAGGTAAAAATTATAAGAGAACCAAATAGAAATTTTGGATTGGAAAAATACAGTAAATGAAATAAATTCAATAGTAAGGCTAAGCAGATTTGAAATATAGAATGAACATAGGCCAATTGAAAGTACCTACCAGAAAAAGGAACGAAGGAGGGGCGGGAAACCTACAGAGACCTATGGGACACCATCAAGTGTGTTAACATGCATAATGTGAGTCCCAGAAGGAGAAGAAGTAAAGGGGCATGAAGTGTATTTGAAGAAATAATTGCCCAAAATTTCAAAATTTGGTGAAAAACGATCTGTACATCTAAGAAGCCCAACAGACGCTTCCAAGACACATTTTTGGATGCAGAAAGACAAAAGTGATACAAGGGATCTTGGGTTGGATTAACAACTCGCTTCTCTTGAGAAGTCTTTCAGGCCAGGCGGTAATGAATGGCATTCAAAGTGCTGAAAGGAAAAGGCAGTGAACCAAGAATTCTAGAGGCAACAACATTATTTCTCAAAAATGGAAGGTACTAAGACATTTCTACATAAAACAAAACAAATTTGTCAGTGGCAGGGAGTCTTAGGCAGAAATGAAAGGACATAAAGGACATTAGGTGGTAACATAAACCCACACAAAAATAAGGAGCACTGGTTAACAACATAGATTTATTAGTGTGAGCTTGGACTATTATAACGAAATGCCATAGACGGGGTGGCTTGAACAGCTCATTTATTTTTCATTGTTCTGGAGTTTGGGAGTCCAAGATTAAGGTTTGGGTAGATTTGGTTCCTGGTGAGGATCCTCTTCCTGGTTTGCACACAGCTGCCCTTCTCAATGTTTCTTCATGTGGCAGACGAGAGTGTTCTGGCTACTTTCACTTTTTATAAGGACACCCTCATGACCCCATCTAAACTGATTATCTCCCATAGGCTCAGTCTCCCAATACCATCACATTAGGGGTTAGGGCTACAACATAATGGATTTGGCAGGGATGCAAACATTCACTCCATAACAGTACTTTTGTTTGTACTTCTGATTTAAAAGAAAACTACATGAAGTAATAAATATAAAACTGTTGAATGGCCTATAATATATAAGTATAATTTTTATGGCAATAGCATAGAACATCGAGGAGGGAATGGAGCTATATTGGAGCAGCAAAGGTTTTGTAATCTATTGAAATTAGGTTTGTATTAATCTGAACTAGATTATTTTAAATTAGGATGTTAATCTCTAGCACAGCCACAAGGAAATAATTCCAAAAAAAAAAAACAAAAACAAACATGAAAGAAACAAGGAAATTAAAGTAGTATATGAGAAAATAACGTTTAACACAAAAGCCTGTAATGGAAGTATAGAGAAAGACATAATAGAAATCAGCAAACTAACGTATAAATCCTGTTACCATTAATTACATTCGATGGTAATGGACTAAACACTACAATAAAAGGCAAATATTGGCAGAGTGGACTAAAAACAATGCAGGTACATATTGTCCATATGAAGCATTAGTTTCAAAAAAAATTGAAAGCAGAAGAATGGAAAAATATACCAACAAACTAAAAGAAAAGCAAAGTAGCTATTAGACTTTAAGGCATACCGTACCCTAATTGTGGTGTAACCTTGGCCAAGTGTCTTAGTTCCTTAACCCCATTAGCAGTGTCCTAAGATGAAGGGGTTGGTGGTGTCTATAGTCCTTTCCATCTCTGAAACACAAATACTTTAGCTTTGAAAGTATGCAATAAAATATGGGATTGGGCACACTTAAGATAATACATTCTTACCAAACGTATTAAGATTTTCAAGTCGTAACTGAATACTGAGATCTGGAGTTTAATGGGTTTTTATTCAAAGTTGTAGTTTGCAAAGATTTTGCTATCAAAAATAATTCTGGGAAAATCTTGGCCATAGAAAGTGGGAATGAAGCTGAGTTAGTGTTTTGTGCATATGAATAGGTTATTGAGTACGAAGTATACTGGTTAAGAGGGTTTCAGATATGGAAAAAGTAAAGTAGGCCAGTAGTTAACTATTTTTGTAATAATTCTATTCCAGAAGTTTCTATGGGACTGCCTGTGGTCAAAGTTTATAATTAAACTTTTATGTATGTCTTTATTTCCCATAATAAAGTAGATCACCAAGTGACTGAAAGCATGAGCACTGAAGTCAGCCTGGGGTTGGATCCTAGCTCTTTAATTTCAGAATGGCTTTGGATAAATGAGTTAATTTCATTTAGACATACAATAGATTATATAATATAGGTAAAGACAACACTGTGTAGTGCTAAATCTCACACTTCCTAAGAAATGTTTTTACTTGGCAAGTTTTGTTCTCTGGCCTACGTGATCTGAAAATAGGTTGAAGTTTGCAGTTTGGGGATAACTCATATTTACAATGTACTCACATTTTAAAGTTAACAGTCTTATCCACTCTTGAGAACTAGGAAAGGATCCATGGGTTAGAAGAAGGGTTCCAAGCAGAGTGGGAAAAGGGTGGCAGCAGAGAAAGGGATCAAATGGCCATGGATGATAAGGTATGGTAGACAAATGTAGATATTGGCTTTTACTTTTTATTGATGGTTCTGCCTTTGTAAACTCTTCTTGGGCTTTGTGAATTCCTTTCCCTAATGAGGGAGAGTCAGTCTCCATGTGGAGACTGAAATTGTGAGAGATTCGCTTTTCTGGCCTCTCCTATAGCTTTAAGGCTGAGATAGATGGAAAAGAAAGTTTGATCTTGTAAATCAGCAGTTTGCTATCTTGTCAGGTCTCTTAAGTGAGAGAAACTGGTCAAGAGAGTGGCATTCTGAGAATTGGATTAAGAGTTTTGGAAAAATTTGGACGAATCAGTATCCTAAATCTTTACCTCCAGTGAGCTTCGCTTAAAGTGGAAGAACCCCCTTAGATGTTTTTGCTTTGGCCGACGATCCCTTAATAACCTCACTCAGGTAGTTACCTTGCAAAAAACAGTTCACTGCTTTATCCCTACAATTAATCCCTCGTCTCCAGGACAGATAGTCAGATCCCAGTATGTTCTGAGAGACAAATACAAAGTGCATCCTGAGAGAGCGCAGAGTGCTGGATCTTGAAGGAACTTAATTTAAAGTGTATTCCAACTATCGATATGGGTACACTTATTCCAGAGAGTCTGTCTCATTTTGTCAGCTTGCACAGCTGGGTGTGGTTCTATATACTTGGTTGAAGTTTTGACTCAGCATAAATTGGAAGTGAGATGCTAGAAATGCCTTGATACAATATAGAGAAAGGAAATCAGAGACTTAGAAGAGGAGTGTTGGAGTGGAATTATGTGTGATCTGCTCAGCCATCTTCCTACTATATCCCGCAGAAGAGCCCAATTGACTATTTAAGGCATTGAGAAACACACAGGTGAACAGAGAATTAGCATCCTGAAAAGCTTTACAGTATAGTCTGACAAAGGGATATTTTTTGGCCTTGGCTACTTGATTATGTGACCCAAATGCCCCAAGTGGTTCTATTTGATTTATGTAACTGAAAACTATAGGTCTGACTTGAGCCACTGTAGTAGTCACGATCCCTTATCCATTTCCCAGGTTGGATTTAGCTCACGCCCTTTGAGAAAGGACCCTGCCATAACATCACAAGTTTGTGTCATGTATGTCCCTCTTAGCATTCTCCAAAGTAACCTGTGGCCATTTACCACAGCAGCTATGCAATGAGGAAAGAAATTCGTAGATCTTTTGGGATTACTAACTGGCCTCGTTTAATTCCTGGAAATCAGAACATCATGTATTTATTCAGAGTAGAGTCTGATAGATGGAGTTTTTACCCAAATCCTTAGTTCCTTCTCCCATTTCCTGAGTATGTGGTGGGAGTATTAATTAGCAACTAGCGAAGTCAACACACCGGTTTCCTGATTGGAGTAAGAATTGGTTTCTTGTGTTTACTATTTCTTGTGTTTAACAGAGGGATACAACTGATGTTATTTTATGTCCCAAATTACTGCTGTTACAGGAACAAGGTGCTAATGTAGAATCAGATGGAATTTTAAAACTATTTTCCTCTTTAGGTTGATAGAGTCCTTTAACAGAGTTCCACACTGCTTCCTACCAAACTCTTCAGGAAGTCTGCCTGTATATGTGAAATTAATACAGATAAACATCTATTTAAAATAACAGTAATTTATATAATTGTTATCAAATTAGGCTCCTGGCATAAAACTCAGCTTCATCAATGATCAAAATATGCCATGCTGATAAGCATTTAGAAAAATTTGAGACTGTTACTGAATTTAACAATATATACTAAATCGGAAGGTCCAAATATTAATTTGCCTTTGGATTTATAGTAATTTTTCTTTTAACCTATGCAAACAAAAAAGTAACAACTTTTATTTCTTTTTGTGCGCATTTCTGAGTTATAATTTTAATTGGCAAGAATTATAGTTTGTTTATGTTCATCATAGAAGCTAACTTGCACTTCATCTATTCATTTATTTTACTAAAATCAATGATTCCATTAATTGGAGCAAAGAAAAAACATCCTCCTAGGACCATGTTGTAATAATAGAAAGAGATTTCTTTTATTTCTGCCAAATAATCTATGTAGATGTAATACCTCACTCCTTGGATTTTTGTATATGTCATGGCAGTGATTTCTTTTTTTATGTAGTATATTTAAAATCTCGTAACTCCATCTACCAAGCTTAATGATTATAAAGTTATTTCCTCTAACAGATACTTTAGGGTAAATATGTATTAAATCCTTGAGACAAAAATCTAAACTTTATACTAAATCCTTTCACCCAAACTCATAATTCAGATGAAGCAAGAACAGTATTTATTACTGGAAACAAAAACTTTTTTTCCAACTAATTTTCATTGTTATGTTAGCTTGGGCTACTTACACAAAAAATCAGTACACACACACCCCAAAAAAAAACAAAAACAAAAACAAAACCCTACAAAAGAAAGAAACACCCTGAAAACAAAAAATCCTTACTTCGTAGGTTCATAAGGTAACAAGTTTAAATCTGAGGTAGCACAACCAGGCAAATGAAAATGGTACGTGCATTAACTGAGGCACTTGAGATCACCCAATTTGTTTAATTTATAACAAAATCTCTACTTGAGAATTTCAGTGCTTGCAAACAATTACAACAATGGTCTCATTTTTCTTTGACAAAATCTTACTTTGAAGTTTAGTCACCTAGACCTTAAACTTACCAGAAAAATATATTTTTATCTCAGGCAAGTATTTAATTTCTCAAAAGCCAGTAATAAAAGATCAATGTGGGATAGGTATGATTTCTTAAAATCAGGATTATATTTTAGCTTCGTAATTGTGAAATACGTTAGTGACCTGAAAGGACACTGTTCTTCCAATTCTATTCAGGGCAGTTTAAGTACAGATGTGATTACGAATAGTAAAGAATGGCTTCTATAACATAAAATTCCAAACACTTTGCATGTAAAAATTTTTTGAGTTATTAAACAGTAGGGTGATCTCAGTCATAAACTTGACTTCATATGAAATGTTTTCTTTAAAATTTTAAGTTTTCTTTAAGAAAAACTTGAAAAGCGTAGCTTCCAAACCAGCTTAAAATTAGAAACTGCTAATTTATTGAATGAAAACAGTACTGTTTTTATTTTTACACCACTGAGTTGAAAGAATAGAAAAGAACTACAGTTGGTATAGAGAACAATTAGGCCATCTATACAGACATCTGCAAATAAAGTCTACATTTACCATCTTCTGCAACCACTTGCTTCTGCTTTGTCATTCACTGACATTTCAACCCTGTCAGTTACTGTATCTTCGGATGCTGACTGGACATGGCCCTCTGACTGTCCTCCAGTGTAGGTGGGGGTGCTGTACTTTAAAAGGATAGATTTAAACTGCATCAGGGGTGCATCTGTACGAACACCCATTGGGTCAAAATGAGTTCGGCTTACTCGAAAGCCTGCTTGAGAAAGATAGCACAGAAACTTTTTTAACCTGCAACAAGGAAAAGAAAAAAAGAAGTTGTATTTTTATTTAAATCACAGTGTTATTAAAATATAAAATATATACGTTGCCATTTGCTGGCTATCTTACTTTGGCATATTCATCCCTTTAATGCTGTGTCTGTGGATGTTGTAATAAAAGGGAGGATGTTCAGTACTGACATCAGTCTTTTGCTTCTTGGCTAAATTTGTGATTGTTTCATTACCTTTTCTCTTTCCTGAAACATATACAAACAAAGTTAGCATTCTCTTAAAAATTCCAATCCAAATACTTTTATAACTATTTGCTATCTCAAGTCTGAATCCTCTGACATACCATTTCAACTTATCTATCTGATCTTAATTTTTAAGAGAACTTTTTATTATAAGAATATTTATTCTTGATATTTTCACTGTCCTTCAGTGATGTAATTTTTAACCGCTGAGTCAGAACTTACTTTCTACCTTCAATTTCAAGTCTCAACTCTATTATCTGTAGAAAACTTTTTATGAATTCTAGGCCAATCACCTCACAGATTTCATTACTGTCAATACTATAAGTTCGTCATTTTTCCTTTTATTGTTTCATGTATGTAGATCTATGTATGTAAATCCTTTCTTCCCAGGTTATAGTCTACGTTCCTCGGGATAATGTCCTTCCACTCTTATATCTACCCTGTACTGAATGCCAGTATTTGGTACATCATAGGTATTCAATGAACACAAAACATGGCCAAGGTTACACAACAAACCGCACAAAGAAGTAGAATGATACTCTAAATCTAAAGTTCTTTATAGCATACTATAATGCCTTTTTCTTCCCTTCAATAAAGAAATTAAGTAGAATTAACCATTTTAAGTGATTTGAATGTTAGCAAAATCGTTGCACATGCCAAATGAACATGACTTAAAGCATGCAGTAGTCATTAAACAACATGCTATTAACAGGAGTTAAGGTTTTCTTGTCTTTGAAGAGCAACACTAAAATGTTAACCAACTAATACACGATTACAGGTTATAATTATAATCCTCTGCTCTTTCAACTTTAACACTCTTCTTTTTACCTGTATTCAAAACATTTAGAATCTAAAGTTGTCTTTAGGTTCTAATATCTGATATAAATCTGTTATAAATCTTACACCCTTTTGATAGGAATTTTCAATGCCCAATACAACTATATTTTAAAGTATGTATATATTCCAAATTATAAGAAAGGCTATATAATAAATTCTTATGGCTAGAGAATAGGTCTTCAATGGAATTGCTGTATATATGCTGAGAAAGTTTGAAAAAATAAAATTTAATCTTAACACTATAAACTTATCAAATATAATTTGATCTTATTTTGGTTCACATGGTTCTTCAAGATCTTCTAGTTCTTTCAAAGCGATCACCATATATTAGAGATGTGAACAAAGTACGTGTTAATAGAAATTTTGAACTTAGCAAATGCCAGATAAACAAGTTTTATTATAATTATGTTGTCAATATAATATGATAAAAGTGCATTTTGAAATAGGCTACCAAAACAGTCTCATCTCTTCCTACCTTTGTGCCACCTTTTTGCACAGATACACACATAGGTACATACACCCACACACATATCCGTACATACCTTGTGCAGTGTAATTATCTGTTGTGGTATCATCTGTAGTTTTAATAAATACACCATATTCTTCTAAAATTAAAAAATGGGAATCACAAAATATTTTACAGAATGACATTACATAACGATTCGAAGTTTAAATAAAAGCTTACTAAATTACAGCCACATTCTTCCTATGAATATATACATATTACAGACTGGCAAAAACAGGGCAAGAACTACATTTTTAAGTCTATAGTAGCTGCTGTTTCTAATGACTTACGAGAAACGCTAGGATGTCTAATAGACCCACCATTAGGTCAACAATCAGACAAAACTACAAAAGCCTATTTTTACTAAAGAGAAAACAAAGGAGAAAAAAATCTAGCTTCTGTGTCTCAATAGATATTACCAAAAATTTTGGCCATACTACTCTCAGAATTACCTAAGGTTTCTATTTCTAGAAAGCAGATATAGGGTAGTAAAACCACAACAGACTTTCAGTAGTTTTAATCTACTAAAATTAGAATATATATATCTTAATAAAATTATTATTCATTTCAGGTTTTGACTATAAACCTGAAGAAAACTACGCAATTAAAAATAAGTTAACCAAATGATTAGACTCATTACAGGGGATTTAAAACACATTTCTTATAATTTTATTGCTTTTGAATATAACATCAAATAAAGATAAAGGCATATTTTTGATACTCAATATGTAAGCTAGTATTCAATTAGCTACCTTGCTTGTTGAGATTTGATGGTGCATGAACTGAAAACTGACTTTGAGGAGTACACTCGGACTCAAAAATCAGTGTCTTTATTAGGGGCTGAATGTCATCTAAACCATGGTGAAGAGATTCAAATAGCATTCTTTTAAGAAATCCTGTATTGAAGAGAGAACTTGACCTGAAAATATATATAGAGAGAGAGAATGGGATGTGAGAAATGTTTATTTTCTTAAAGTAAGTCTTCATCATTTAACCACAACTAAGATAATTACAGGATAGATTAAATACTACAATTAAAAAACCATGATTTAATTTAAAATTGTTTATTTTCTATTCCCCCATACCTTTTATCATGTTGGTTCTCTAAACTAGTGGGATTAATCAAGGAAATTTCATTCACAGTAAATCAAGAATTTATTGAGCCTTCATAAGGTGTACAGTCTTACAGTACATAGAGGTGTGGAGAATATATCAAAATAAAAATTACAACGCTTACCCTATAAAAATAAGCCCACAAATCTATAGATGGGGACATAATGTAATGCAGAGGTTTGTATAATGCATATTCCTCTCAGTAATAGTATTATTCCAGTGTGTATATGGTAGAGTGGGGCAGGATAGGAGGAGATAAATGAGAATTACATGTGGTGGTGGTAGTGTTGTTAAAAAATTGCCCATGGGTAAGTCTGATGTGCTTTCCTTTTAATTTGAGAATCACTGGTATGTACAGAATATGAAATTCTGAGCCAGATAAACCTAGATTCCCACCCTGGCTCTCCCATTTAGTAGCTATGTAATCTTGAGTAATTATTGCTTTTGAGTATCATGTTCCTCCTCAAAACGGAAACGAAAACCTCTCACAGACCTGTTACGGGAATTATTCGAGGTAGCACATGTAAAATCTCTAGTACAAAGAATATCCTTAATGAATGGTAGCTATTAGTGTTAGCAAATATATGTGAAAAGATATGTGATTTTAAAGTGTCAAATTAGTGATACTCATTAAGCTAAAGCCTAAGCCTGAAATAGGTTGACATGTTACAACAAAATGGCAAGCCCACTGTTAGATTTATTAAAAGAGAATTCAGAAATAATTTGGGTTGAAGCACAAAGAGACTTCAAAGAGGACACAGAATTTGAATTGGAGGTGGGGAAGCGGGAAGAGATTCTGAATGAGGGTAAAGACATGACCGTGGCTTTGAGTGAAGAAATCCTAAGCCATGGTTGAGAACTCAGTCCTGGGAGTGAGAAAACCTGGGTTCTTGCTCTACCTGACCTACTAACTAAATTTGTGGGGGTCAGTTTTAGCTAGCACTTAAAAACACTGTGCTATAATTTTCTCATCTGTAAAATGAGAGAGTTGAATTAGATCTTCCTTCTGGGTCCAGCAACCTGTTGAGAATAGTTTCCCCAGTTCTGAGATCGGTGAGTGATATCAACATGTAGCAGACCATACAGGTAAGCAAGTACTAGAAGGCAAGGCTGGCTAGGCCATTCTTTATCTAAAGGTATTTACATACGATAAAGATAAAATAACGGGCATCAGCACAAACATTTACCATTTGAGTTCATTTTTAGTTTTAGTAGATGGTTAAACCTTGACCTTGTAAATTAATGAAGTGGAAATCTGCAATGATTCTTGTCACGATGTTGTTAGGACTCTCTAGTTATTAACGATGCAAAAGCACACATACATTCAAAATCTGCAGTTGGGTCCCATCTAAACAACTTTACCTAAAACAAAGTGGACATTTACTTTCATATGCCCTTCTTACTTAAAACCGATTTCTTGAAGAGCTTTTATATTAGTTGACTCTTCTATAAAAAGTTATTGTTATCACTTTACAATCACACCCCAGTTCTATAATTATCTTCTGAAAAAAGCCTCATTCTTACTGTTCAGAAATGAATTAGTTTGCATATCAGCCAGGCTTCTCTTTAATTCCACTGCCTCTAAGCACTGTCAAACTTGAAAGAATGATATAGAAAAATGTGAAAACAAAATGCCTAAGGTCCACAGTGGTAAAAGTCATCATTATTTGCCTAGACTTAAAAAAACAATCAAAATTTGTTTCTGTTACTACCACACATCATCGAAAGTCAGTAATCAAATCAATACATAAATCAATTCTGAATGTTTATTATGCTTGGGCACATACCATAGAGGTCCAAGTTCTATTGCTGTCTTTCCAGGCATGCTTCCATGACAGTTACAAGGCAACTGTCTATACGGGTTTTCTGTGAAAAAAGATAATAGAGAAATCAAAGGAGAAAGGACAATTAAATAGTAGTAACTGTTATATTAATAATAATCTGCAGCTACTATATACTGAGGATCTACTATGTGCCAGGTATTGTGCTAAGTATTTTTATGCATTTAAAATTTCTAATCCTTACAACTCTGAAGTAAAATCTCAATTACACAGATCAGAGGATTAAAACTTGAAAGACTGTAGAAATCCATGTCAAACAGCTTATTAGAGGCATAACTTTTACTAAATTTTAGTCGACACATGAAATAATGTAAGTAGGAGAAAATCTTGTAAAGTCTTCAAGTATCTGTATTTTAAAATTAATTGATAGGGGTATAATTTACATGCAATAAAATGTATACATTTTATGTGAAAAGGTTGATGAATTTTGACAAATATATATACCCATATAACCAATAACCTATCAAAATAAAAGTCATTTCTCATAAGTTAACTTCTGCAACTGGGAAGAAAATATTCTCTAGGCCCAATTTGAATTGGAGGTGAATTAATCAGCTCCAAAATGTTGGCTAGAAGAATCTAATTCAGTTTAAAGAGTAATGAGAAGCCTGATACAATCACAAGGTAATTGGAGAGGTAGTAGCACTATTCTTACTTTCCAAAATGGAGCAATATTCTACTATGAACTTTTCAGTTCACTTAAGGTCTAGAACAGTCATTTTAAATCAGACTCTCTTCAACTAACTTCCCCCAGGTTATTCCTGGGTGGATCACTCACTTTCTTGGAATGGCCTTAGCTGATCAATCTAAATATATCTAGAACCCAAGACTAAGGTGGTAGAGACATAGGACTATAATGCAAATTAATGGTATAATGCAGTTGTGAGATCTTTTGGATTACTTAAAGGCTCCCGTCACTGTTTTACCTAGGTTTACTTTTCAGTATTTAAGCTAAAGGAAGGTGTGGTTATCATCAATATTAGCTTTGTTGAGAACTATGTTCCCTAAACATTATATGAATATATTCTAGAAGCCTTCCTGGAGCCATTAAATAACTCAATTACAAATACTATAAGCAGTATTACCCAAATGAGGGCAATTTAACATTTGTTTCTGTCAGTTACAACCATTTACCCCAGGCAGGAAGGCAGCACACACCCGAATTTATATTAGTCTGTTTCTTGATGCACTTTGCTCCCATCATACAAACCTGTGTCTTTTCCCAAGTCCCTTGCCTAATATTTCTTAGTGTTGGGTCAGCACCAGCAAATTCCCTGAGGGGTCAGGGCTATCATTTCCGGTTAGAAATTATATCATTAGAGCAAAGTTGCAGCAAAAAAATGAGGAGGTAAAGAAAGCTAGTATTTCCATGTCATTAGTATGTAGGCTATGAAGGCAATTTCAGATGATGAGTTCAAAAATAAGTATTAGCAGACTTCTATTTAAATGCAACGAGTTGAACATGTACTTCACCTCTGTTGTCTCTTAAAGAATTATTAAAATGAGAGCAAAGAAATACAAATCAAACCCCAAGAGTTAATAGAATAGGACAGGAGGTAATAAGATGATGAGAGATGTCAATAAAATTTAGAAATGGGAATCAGAGACACAGGGGATAACTGATTTTGCACGTCAGAGAGAGCTAAAGCCTAAGCCTGAAATAGGTTGACGGGTTACAACAAAACGGCAAGCCCGCTGGCATTGTGGGACCCCAGAAAGGCCTGAGAACTGAAGGTTCTGACCCTCGCTGAAGATGGGTATAGGGTGGTACTGCAAAAAAAGAGGCCTGGTTAAAAAATGTTAAGGGGTTCAGTTAAGACTCTTGGGTCTTCTCTAATACCCAGAGTCAGGCTACTGAGTCTTCTTCATCCAAAAAGATGAAGTTAATCTTGGGGGAGGCTGAACCATCGAAGACCTGGAACCAGAGGCATCAGTCACAGCCGAGGGTGAGAAGCTGTATGAGAGGGGAGAGATTAAGTAAAGGACTGCATAAATGGTAAGTAAAGCCTTCCAGTCTCCCGCAACACGGCTCCTGAAAAGCTGATAGAAGACTGGAAGAGTCCTCTCTAGAGCAGCCTTAGTAGTCCAAGAGAAAAGACTGACCCATATTTATCAGCATGGTGTGGGGGGTGGGGGGGGGTGTCGCCCAGTGAAAAGACAGATTGGCGCCTTTTCTTTACAGTTCATAAGCCCTGCCCCAAGTGCTTCCAAACAACTCAGTGTGGACGACCAAAGACATGAGATCTACCGTGACAGACAGAACAAAATAAAAGGTAATATGTGGGTAGCTATAAAAGATGTTTATGCATGTGTTTTTTCTTGTTTTAATTTATTTTAAAAATCATTATGTACTCAAAAAGTAAATATACTGTGTTTTTGGATTAGGGCTACATAAATGTAATTAATGTAAGACAAAATAAGCACAGGAGAGAAGAGGAAAACAGAATTATATTAGAGGAAAGTTGCTAGATTTTATCACTTTCCTCAGTATTAACCTGAAATAGGCCAAGATAAGTTAAAGGTATATATTATAACCCCTAGAGAAACAATTAAGAAAATAACTGAAAAAATAAAGCTAAAAAATCAATAGAGGAATTAGTTAAAATAACCGACTAAAAATATCTGTTTAACACTAAGGAAGGCAACAAAGGAAGAGGAACAAAAAGACATGAAACATAAAACAAACAGCAAAAGAGCTGACATAAAAAAATGCAAAAATGATCAGACTAGATTTAAAAAAATAAGATCCAATAAGACACTCAGATTGAAAGTAAAAAGAAGAAAAAAAAATATTCTGCAAATAGTAATAAGAGTGGTTTTTATGTTATCGGATAATACTGGCTTTCAGACAAATATCACAGAGATAAAGATGGACAAGTTATGATGAGTAATATATGAAAAAAATAATTAGAAATGTACATGAACAATTTTAGAGATAAAATGCTAGTTAAAGAAGACAGGTTGAGGAAGTCTACACAGGCATGATAGTACAAAGGTAAGAGAAATCAGAATTAAATACATATTTAAGAAAACTTTCTTGAAATAAAAATATTTGAAACTACATGATGAAAAAGTACACCATGCCCTGGAACCCTGATCCTAAAAGGCTATACATAGAGTAAAATTACTGGATTTCAAAAATAAATATTCCATTGGATACCAGACAAAATGATCATGTCACAAGGAAGAAGGGAAATTTATAATAATACTCAGAAGACAGTACAGGAATTTCTACAAGGTCCTCAAACCCTTTTAAATTCCTTCAGTATAAAGGCATGAATAGTGAGCTCTAAACATGCATGAAACCAAGGAGTATTTTTCCCATGAACCCTCCTAACTAAACTCATAAAGTTAAATTTAGCCAACAAAGAGTTGATTAGAGAAATTATGGCCAAAAGACAGATGATGAGCACTGAATATGTTTATAGATTATACTGGCAAAATAGAATGTAAATGTCACATATTCTAATACCACAGAAATGGTATAATGAACAAAGATTAGGAAGGGAAAATGGAAAACGGGAGGCTGATCACCTCATTTACAGTACCAAGAAGCCTGAGCATATTATTGAAAACCAATAGGTTTAAATTATATAAGTATATATATTTTCTACTACAAAAGTAAACATTAACAAAGATAATAAATAAACAACAGAATAGATAAGCCAGTATCTAATGTAATAAGGAAAAAAGACATGAAAAATATTAAAAATTTAAAACATAAGGAGACTATACCCACAGATACCAAGGAAATTAAAAGGAATCTTAGACACTATTTTGCTCAACTCTATAAATAACTTAAAAAACCTAGGTGAATACTGCTAAACCTTTAATGAACAAATAATTCTGATGCTAAACTGTTTCCAAATATTAGAAAAAAAGGAAAAGTTCCAAATTCTTTTTGAAGGGAGTTTAAACTGACTCTAAAACCTAAACAAAACATGCTAAGAAAGGAAAACTATATGCCATCTCATTTTTGAATATTTAACAAAAATCCTTAAAAACATTAGCCAATAGAATCCATATTAAGAGAACGCTTTCTGATATAAGTTTATTCTAGAAAGTCAGAATGATTCAATATTGGGAAATTTTATTATAATTAATCAAATTAATAGATCTAAGGAGAAATACCATATAATCACCTCCACATACACTGATAAAGCATGACAAAATGAAACATCTTAATAAAATATATTAAAATTGGAAATGAATGATACTTTCTTAGCATGATAAACCACAGCTATCTCAGACTCATGCTTGAATCAGAAAGCACCAGAGGGAACGAAATAAGGGACGTAACAGGATGCCCTCTATTCCTACCATCAATTAGCACTGTAGCAAAAGGGCCTGTACCAATGAAAAGCATCCTAGGTTCTTAGGAAGCTTCAAAACCATGATATCATCCTCCTTCATTTAATGTGATCAAAATAAAGTACCAAGTGGTCTATTTACTTACGTTTTTATTAAGAAAAAAAGAAGACCCCATGTATCAATAACACTCTAAAAATAGAGATTTGAGGAGGAAATGTCTTAACAGATATTAAACAACACTAAAATCTATAATCAAAACTATGGTAGAGGTGTATAGACATCCACCCACCGAAACGGAATAGAAAATCCAGAAACAAACTCGAATACATGTGGGACTTTAGTATAAGAAAGAGATGGTATTCTCAAATCAGTGGAGAAGAGGTGAATTATTCAACAAAATGTATCCTATCTTGAATAAGTTAGGAATAGGAAAGCTCTTTAACTATAGACAAATTCGGAATACGTAAAAGTTCGATTAACTTTCCAACAGCAACAATGACAAACTTACGCATCCAAGATTTAAAAAATAGACTTGCAAACAAGTGGCAATGAGAATATTTGCAACTCACCACAAGGGTTAAAGTCTAACATATAAAGAATTCTTAAAAATCCAAATTAAAAAGTGCCAAAAACCTAATGGAAAACAATGGGTGACTGTTTCTATATCCTAGAATAGGAAAATAGAAACATCTTTATAAGGGCATAAGCCACACCTCTTTCCTTGATCCCCAGGCCTGGCATATAGTAGAGGCTCAGTAAATGTTTACTGAATGAATTTTATAACTGATGGCTTTTATATTCGGCCAGAAACATCAAAATTATTTTTATAAAATTAATTATTTGAAACAGCCTAGACAGAGTTAATCTGACTTATGTTCCTAAAATTAGTGATAGTGGAAACTAGGTTATTTCTAGATGTTTCAACAGAGCAGGGCTGGGCTAGAGAACGTAAATCGTATAGCATGAGTAAATAACTTTAGTAAACTCACATGAATGTCTTGTCTGTTGATGAAAGGAAATCCAGTATAGGAAATAAAGTTAGCACTGTAATCATTAAAATCAAAGGACAACAATATGTACAATTAGGGATGTGATAAAGGCTTATTCATTGGAGGCTTATACATAAATTAAACAGTACAGTCAAAAGAAACTTGAATTTACCTTCTACCATATTACCATCCTTCTGAAAAATTCTCTCTTCACACCACTGACAATGGATCAGATACTGAATCTTCTTGGCTGTTTCATCTGCAGAGGTAGGCCCCCTCAAAACTCTAACAACCACCAAGACAAAATGTTCCAGAGCCACTGCAAACAGTACTTCTATGCCTTTATTACATCGGGCTGCAGCTCTGGAAAAAAAAAAATTGTTATTTTGGGTGCTTATCATTTTCCTTTGTTTGGCATTATATTGATAGTACTAATGTGGATAGTAAACTATGGGTGGGTTAAGAGAAAGCAAGGAAAATGTGATTCTTAATCGCAGTGCTTTTAAAAGATCATGACTCTCGATGTCCATTTATATTATATTACTCTTTTAGCATAATATTCTCAATAAAATGGGTACTCTAAGTCTTCTTTCTTCAACTGTTTAGAAATCTTGATGAGAAAGAACTTTTTTTGGTAGGTGAGATCATTTTGCAGAATCAAGTTAATGAGCCATCCTTTATAATTTATTTATATAAAGAAGATTAGATGAAATGGACATAAAACGATGTTTGTTTCTAAATCTAAGAACATTCTTTGCCTTCCCTTCTCATGGTGCTATCCCTTCTGTACTCTACACTGTTGAGATAACAGACTTGAAATTAACTTTCATTTTTATCTCTGCTTTCTTACTACTTTAATTATCTTGATAACCTTTTTAATTGGAGAGTAAACTGACTATACTAGGCACAGCTTTTAAATCAAATTCTAAAAGATACAACATAAGATTACCAAACAAATCAAGATTACAGATATAGAATACAGAATCTGTATTTCATGCATATTTTGAAAAGAGATACACATTTCTTGTATGTTATCATATACACATACAAACGTGGTACACCATTGGTAATTTGGTACCTTGCCACTGCAGCTACAACAATTCTGGCTGCTAGTTCCTTATAATATTCAGTTCGGACAATGTTACAGCCGTAGTGACGCCGGGCAACGTGTTGTGCCTTGGCATACAAAGAACTGATATCTGTAGAAGTCACTGATACTATGCCAAGGTTTCTTATATTTCTGAATGCAGAATCTAGATAGTTCACTGATGTTCCAAAAGGGTCTAGGTGTCTAAAAGCAGAAAGAATACAGACATATTTTAAATTATACTAGTAACCAAAATTATACGATTGTCATTTCTAATAATAAAATTCCATGAGTACAAAATTGTTTTACAAATCTACTTTAAACACATAATTCCGTTTTAAAATTAAGTTATAAAATGACCATATGATATGTTGGAGATGTAAAAATAAATAAGGGTTAGAGGAAAACTGTCATGCCCAGGCATTTTATTTCAAAGGCTAAAAAATATTCTATTGCATTCTTTAGGCCAATTCTAAAAACAAAACAAAACAAGACAAAAACTCAAACTTATAAACTGAGTAAATAAACAGCAACAACAAACCGTCTTAATTTTTAACTCCCTCCCTGCAAAAAAAAATTCAGGTCAGTTTAGAAAGTGACCCAAAACATTTTATTCACTTACATGAAATCAAAAGACCTCAAATGCATGAGTACATTGGCATCCATTTTGGTCACCGTAATATTACCAAGGTTTTCCTCTCCTTCCAGAATACCATCTCTCTCTCCCTTTTCCTTACTGTCCACCACCACTTTCAATTTGTTTAAGTGGCAGTTTTCCTGAATCAGTGTCACAGAGTTTTCATTCAAGTCGTTAATCGTAACCTTGACTGCATTTCCAAGATGTTTTGCCCATTGTAATCCCATTATCCCTTAGGAGAAATGGGAAGAAAAATGTTTTTAATTGTAATAATTAAAAAATAAAAATAGCATAACAACATAGAATATAATTTTACAAACAGCAAAAACAAATTGTTTCAAAATCTTAATACTTTCATAAATAATGCTTTTCTTACTTTCTCACTACAAAGCCTCTGAAAAGTTACCACAAAAAAATGTATCTTACAGGTTTTCATTAGTACTTCTTACAAAACTTTTCTATGATCCATTAAAATAAAATCTCTAATTAGTAACAAGAATACACATGAAAGACTAAATCTCACTCAAAGGTTAATTATATAATAGATAGTAAAGATAGTGGATTAATCACTTTTATAGGTAGTATGAAGGTTAAAAGACAAAAGTAGTAAAAATAACTATGATTACAATTAGTTAAGGGATATACAAGATAAAAAGATGCGAAATGTGACATCAAAACAAAAAGTGGGGTTGGGGGAGAGTAATGATGTTGAGCTTTATAACGGGATCAAAGTTAAGTTGCTATCAACATGATTAACTTGTGATAGGTATAAGTTGATATATGTAAGCTTCATGGTAACCACAAAGCAAAATCTATAGTAAATATACAAAAGATAAACAAATGTAAGCACACCATTAAAGTCACCAAACTACAGAGAATAAGAGATGAAGGAAAAAAGAATTGCAAAAATAGCTAGAAAACAATTAACAAAATGGCAATAAGCACATGTCTATCAATAATTACTTTAAATAAATGGACTAAATTCCCCAATCAAAAAACATAAAGTGGCTGAATGGATAAAAAAAAACAAGACCCACCTATATGCTACGTAGAAGACTAACTTTAGATGAAAGGACACAGACAGACTGAAAGTGAAAGGATATGACAAGATATTCCATGCAAATGGAAACCAAGCAGAAGATGGAATAGCTATCCTGGTAACAGAGAAAATAGACTTCAAAACAAAGACTGTAATAAGAGACAAAGGACAGACATTACATAATGATAAAGGGGTCACTCCAACAAGACTATAGAACATTTGTAAATATTCATGCATACAACATAGGAATACCTAAATATATAAAGAAAGTATTAACAGATCTAAAGGGAGAAATAGCATTATAATAATAGTAGGAAACTTTAATACTTCACTTATATCAATTAATAGATCATCCAAACACAAACCCAATAAAGAAACTGAATCTTAAAAGACATGTCAGACCAGATAGACTTACATTATTTACAGAACATTCCACCTAAAAGCAACAGAATATAAATTCATTCTTCTCACACATGGAACATTTTCCAACATACATCGTAGTTTAGGCCACAAAACAAGTCTTAATAAATTTAAGAGGATTGAAATCATATCAAGCATCTTTTCTTACCACAATGGTATGAAACCAGAAATTACATGAAGAAAATTCACAAATATATGGAAATTAAACAACATGCTACTGAAAAACCAACAGACCAAAGGAAACAAAAGAGAAATTTAAAAATATTTTGGGACAAATGAAAATGGAAATGTCACATACCAAAATTTACAGGACACAGCAAAAGCAGTTATAAGAGGGAAGTTCATAAAACAAGAAAAGTCTCAACCTAACTTTACACCTCAAGGAACTAGAAGAAGAACAAATGAAGCCTGGAGTTAGTAGAAGAAAAGAAATAGCAAAGGTTAGAATAGAAATAAGTGAAATAAAGACTAAAAAGACAATAGAAAAGATCAATGAAACTAGGAGCTGGTTCTTTAAAAAGATAAAATAAATTGCTCAAACCTTGAGCATGAAAAAAGAGAAAGGACTCAAATAAAATCAGAAATGAAAGAGAAGTTACAACTGATACCAAAGAAATACAAAGGCTTGTAAGAGACTACTAGGAACAATTATATACCAACAAGTTGAACAACGAAGAATTGAATAAATTCCTAGAAATGGTAACAACCTACTGAGACTGAATCATGATGAAACAATATCTGACCAGATGAGTTACTAGTAAGGAGACTGAATCAGCAATCAAAAACCTCCAACGAATAAAAGTCCAGGACCAGACGGCTTCACTGGTGAATTCAACCACACAGTCAAAGAATTACTACCAATCCTTCTCAAACTCTTCCAAAAAACATTACTCTGATACCAAAACCAGACATGATACTACAAGAAAAGAAAACTACAGGCCAATATTCCTGATGAACATATGATGCAAAAATTCTCTACAAAGTATCAGCCAAGTGAATTCAACAAATACATCAAAAAGATCATACACCATGATCAAGCAGGATTTATTCTACGGATGCAAGGATGGTTCAACATCCTAAAATCAGTCAATATTATATACTACATTAACAAAAGGAAAGATAAAAAGCTTATGATTATCTTAATAGATGCAAAAGAAGCATATGGCAAAATTCAACATCAATTTATAATAAAACTCAAAGTATAGATGGAATGTAACAACATAATAAAGGCTATATATGACAAGCATATGGCTAAGATTATACTCAACGGTGAAAAGCTGAAAGTTTTTCTTTAAGATCTGGAACAAGACAAGGATGCACACAGATAATTATCACACACACACATAAATGACAGAAAGAAATAGAGACTGAAAAGAGCAGACACATTAAGCAACTGAAATAAATGGTCTTTGTCTGGATTCTGATTTAATTTTAAAAACAGATAATTGGACATATCTATACATTTGATACTAAAGAATTATCCATTTTTTTAGGTGTGATAATGGTATCATGGTTTTGATTTTGAAAGTCCTTATCTTGTAGAGATCCAACTGAAATATTTACATATGAAATGACTTTTTGGTGATTTGTTTCAAAATAACAGGGATGGAGGATGAAGATGAGGTATGAGGGAAAGTACATGAGGACAGTTACAAGACTGAGCATGAGTTGATAATTTTTTAAGTGTGTGATGGATAGAAAGGAATTCGTTTATTATACTCTCTCATTTTGTATATATTAGAACTTTTTCCACAATAACAGAATTTACCTTGGAAGTTAAATCTTTATATTAAAATATTCTGCTATATGGTATCCATATCCATTTTCTAAGAAAAGATACTATATAAATCTGATAAAATTGGATTCCAAAAAAGCTTCATTACTTACCAGTGGCTCCAAAGGCATCTAGACATTCCAAAGGTTTTCGTTCCTCGGCCAAAGCAGCCAATGTACAGAATATTAGCTGCCTATAGAAAAGTACAATAATCTGAAATCATTTACCATGGCTTTATCATTATAGATTTTATTTTATTTAACAATACTGAGAACTGAGGTTCTTATTTACTATACAAAATATTTTGAAAAGAGGCCTAGTAACACATTCTCTACTTTACAGTATGAGAACTAAAAATTTGTGAAATTAAACTATGAATCTTATTGGGTTCTATTAACAAGCATTCACTATGAATAACAATTTTATAACTAAAACTTGCTCACAAAAGCACTGTTCATTAAATATATAAAATTAGGCCTATTTTACTCTCTGAGAAAGAATGTGGTCTGGTAGAAAAAAAGAACAATCATTCTGAGAAAATGCTAAAAGATGATTTTAATTCTGCACCTCATTTTAAATCCAATACATTAGAACATAAAGATTAAGAGAGGGTACATTTGTAATGGTTTGAAACATGTTATAATCCTTTCCTCAATTATTCTTACCGATTTAGTTTCATTTTGGGATTAAAGTAGGTATCTGTTTTCTGAGGTACAGAATAGTTAGGACAAACTTGTACATCTGTGTCTGCCTCTTTAAAAATTTCCTTAGGTGGTTTAGCAGCAGAAGCTAAGAAAAAAAATAAATAAAGATTTCCAGTGAAATAAAACATAATTCTAAATATCTAAACCAATATATATTTAAAAAATAACTTTATAATAATTTGCATTAATGTAATTAGTTGGGTAGATGGTAAAAAAAAAAACATGAAAAAACTGGTCTATTCACCACCGTCTCTGGAAAAGAGTAGAATTCAGTGAAAGTTTATTAACTTAAAATCCTAAATTCCTAGTACATCAATACATCAATACATGATACCTAGTTAATAACAATCAACCTAATACAGCACAAAATCATACAATACCTTCATTACTCATCAAACACTACATTGTGCTTGTACGTGTTGGCCACTGAATATACGTTACTGTGGTATAATTGTTAGAAAGTTAGTATCTCTGTATGGTTACATTTCATTACTCAGCATGGATGACTAAGAATCACTATACTTCCAGAACATGCTAGATTTCAGAACTCTTTCTCATAATTATGATTTTAAAACACATTACATTCGAATAGTTATAAAGTAATAGAAAAGATTCTACATTTAGCTAAAAACCCAAGTACTGATGTATTTGTATTTTACATATTTAAGAAATGAAACATATATATTTGAGTAAAAAAACTTAGATTATGTTTGAATTTCTTGATTACATTACAATCAGAATGTTAACTAAATGGCAACCATATTTCTCTTTCTACAATGCTAAATAACAGTAACCTTTCCTAGGATTGTGTTTATATCTTTCTATACCCACCATGTCACATATCGCATGAGATCAACCTTTCTCAAACCAGATTCTGTGAGAAAATTAAGCACTAGAAAATTATTTCAGTGACTATTTTTTCAATTCTTAAAAGAAAATACTTTATCATTCTAGATGTATAGGAAAGAAATTCATTATATACAATGGATGCCTTAGAGCATGAAGGCTTAATTCTTAATTCTTGAGAAGGCTTGCCTCAATAATAACTTGATAGGATTTAAGATAATCATCTTTAGTCATTTTACCTCATTTTCTAGTGTTTTTCAACAATAAGTATAACACAACTATTGGTGCAGGAGCCATCACTAGTAATACAATCCTATAATCTTTTATTAAGATAATTATATTTACTTGAGCATCAATTGCTTTTTTTCCTACCTACTTATTAAATGTTACTGTTTACTGAGGACCCTTAAATGTTGTTGGGAGCCCCAGAGGAAGAAAACAAAACCTGAAGTAATGGATTAGTAGTTAACTATATGATTGGTTAAGTCACTGCCTTTTATCACTCTGATATCTGAAAAGAGTAATTGGACCATTGTTTAATGATTTACTTATTAACATGTTAATAAGATTCTTCAACTTACCAGCAATATACCTGGATTTAGTCTCTCCTTTATTCACATGGCGCCTAACATGTCCTAGCATATCAGTCCTTCTGGTGATTGTTGCTGAACAAATGATACAATGATAATGGGCGCCCATTTTATTGGATATCTATCAAACAGAGTATTTATTTTAAATACATAAATAAGTTACTAAGACAATAAAATAGAAGTTTATTTAAGGTTGCAAATTTAAGTATATTAGTGTGCCTTTGGTTTAACAGAATAGAAGACAGTATCAATTTTGTATGTGACTTTGAAGGGACCTTTACTTCCTTATCTATATTTACATATGCTTTACAATAGGCTACCACTTTAACTTCTTAGATTTTCCAATTCATTCTAAACATCAAATAACTGTATCCTATTTTCTATAAGCAGCATTTACAAATGGCATAATAGTAGTGGCGATGTACTAGTAGATGGCTCTCCAGGAAAATAAAGTCCTGATGTGTAGTGTTTGCAGCTTTCTGTAGTATAAATGGTCTCCAATTTCAAGAAGAAATTCTGTATAATTTCAAGCTGCAATTGTGACAGATTTCAAGCTACCAATGAGACATCGCTGAATGTGAATTTGGGAAAAGATGTTCAATATTATAGCAGAGAGGATTACTGCCATGCAGATATAGTATACATAAGTAAGCATAAGAGCACAGAAAATAGAAAAATGTAATAAAATAATTAGGAAGTAGTGAGTTTTGAGTATGCATTACCTTTGTTTTAAATATAATTTATTCACTTTTAAGTTTATCTAAGTTAATTTTTATTGATGGCCACATTTAACCAGCTTTCAAAATTTCTAGAAATATGAGCTGGTTTGAGCATACATGCTAGAGACATAATGAAAAGTCTATTTTTCCAAGTAAAAAATTCTTACTTTATAATTTCTTATTTAGCTGAGAACCAAAGACTACTCCAACTGCTCTGTCCTACTTCTGATGCCTTTTTACTCCTATGCTTCTACCTCCTACTTACTTGGGATCATATAGCAAGTAGAGTATAATCAAGAACATTGCACAGGGTTCCTTCAAATGTGGTTATCATTTTCAAAATACCTTGGATAAGGTTGATAGACCAAGCATTGTCCTGACTACCGCTTAAGAAATATTTGTTTCCCACTCCCCCAGCACTTTACTCTGTTTAGTGAACTGAAAGAAAATTAATAACGATGACTCATTAAGCTAATATGTATTTGGGATAGTGTCACTAAAAATATTTTATAATGTGCATTCCCCAAAGATCAGATCTATCCTAAAAATGAACATATGTACTTTTTAAAAAGTTATCAAAGATTTCAGAAAGTTTGATTCTTTCTTTTGACAAATTAAAAGAACATAGCGAGAATGAGTATGAATCAACATATACTAAGATATTTACTAAATCACGGAGATTGAAGAGTCTTATTCCATGATCAAAATTTATTTTAAAAGAAAAAAATTACTTTCTATTTAAATTCTCCATTCTAAAATTAATAAATAAGTTAATTTTCCTTTTGAACACAAGACAGCAATTTAACTGACTGAAATTAAAAAAGTACTGCAACTTTTTTCATACATTTCATATTTTTCCTACTATGATAATCTAGGAAAAATCTTAAAGTAAACCTCATTGCTGAATATGTGCATTTCAGTTTGAAAGTAAAAAATGCACTTTCTTTAAAGAGGAATAAATTTAAAAATAAATCTAACATCTGTTTACCTGTTCTCCAATAATGTTTGGTTTTACTGGTCGACAAGGTAAGTGACAGATGCACATCCTGTAACCTAAAATGAAGAACAGCTGGTTCATTAACTATTCAATTATCATTAAAAAAAAAAAACTAGCAAATTTTATTTTGTAAGAAAAACTGGGATTATTCTTATATTTGAAATGTCATTATTAATTTATTTGAATGAGACTGCCTTAGCTTACTTGTTATATATGATATAGTATAAAAATAAATATAGGAAATCCAGGTTTGAATTTTGGTTCTGCCAAGACTATCTGTATTATCTTGGATTAGCCATCTACTTCTCTGAAACTCAATTTTATCATCTAGTCTCTGCCATCTTGACTTTTTCTTCAACTTCACCTTTGCCTCTTCATTTATGATATGGCACTATCTCGGTTCTCCTCCCATTCTTTTTAATCTTCATAGATCCTTTTCCCTCTCTCACACTCTAAAATGTCAGTTTTCTGTAGGCTTGATCTGCAACATGAGTTTTTCTCATTTCCTTGGTAGCATTAATGTCTTTCATGATTGCAACTATCTCCCCTGTGTGAAGGAAACCCAAATTACAACTCTAGTTACTAACTCATTTCTGAGGGCCGGAATTCTATTTCCAATTGCCTACTGAGGATATATGACTGGTTATCAGGTCAGCATTTCAAAATCTGCTTGCCAAGGAATAAATTTATCATTTCCTTCTGAACAAAGTCTCTTTTTCACTTTTTTTAAATGAGTGATAATGACTTCTAGTCACTTCCAACTCAAAGCCTGTAAGTTATCTAACTCCTTTCTTCTCATACCGTATATCCAGTCATTTCTCTTGCTTGTGTATGTGGAAGTGTCCTGGGACTCAGACCTTGGGCAACTTCTTCCTTCTATTTATATGTACTCCTATGGTTATCCCATCCAGTGTTATGGCTTTAAATATCATCTAGAGTCTGGCAACTCCCAAATGTATATGTCTGGCTCAGGCCTCCCCATCAAGCTCCACATTCACGTACCTACAGGCTACTTCCCATCTCCACTAGATGCCTCTAAATCTTTCTGCGTCTAAATCTGAGGTCCTGGCCATCTTTCCCATACTTGGTCCTAACGTAGATTTCTCCGGCTCAGTAAAGGACAGCTCTTTTTTAGTTGCTCAATTCTCAGACCCAAACATTCTTGAATTTCTTTTCCTCACATCTCACTTCTATTCCTTCAGCAGATCTTGTTCTCTCTTCAACACATTTGTCAACTACTCTTTGGAGCCTTCTCACTAAGACAGAAACTATCATAGTCACTGTCTACAAGATCACCACCACATGAAAGGACTGAATAACCTAATGTATATAAGAGAGTGGAGAGATACCATGAGCCATTTAAGAAATAAGAAGAACTTGAAGGAAAGAGACCAAACCTAAAGGTTAAACAATGGTTTAAATAAAGACTATGGAAGAGACCTTCTTAGTTGAGATCTTTCTTTTTGATAAGAAGTCAATGTGGTTAAATATACATTCTTACATATAATTAAACATAAAAGACAGGATGGCTTCTGAATTAATATCTAATTCTTTTTTTCCTAAGTAACTAGTAATAACCTTTTACCAGTACTACTAAGAAAATAGTTCTGGATTCTTTTTTGGGTGTCTCACACTGGCTGTTGCATCCAGTTTGGCTGAAACTCCAGGTAACCCATTTAACATCTATGCTCACATAATCATATACAAATATATGTTTATATTTGTTTAAGATTACTATCGAGTGTTTTTTTTGGGGGGGGGGAACTTTTTGTTTTTATCCAAATGGAATATAATAAAATCTTCCTTATCTATTACTGTTTTCATTAGTAGTTTATCATGGAAATCCTTCCAAGTAAATTGGCATAGATCTAATGTATTCTTTCTAGTGGCTGCATGATATGCCATAGTATGTACGTACCATAATTTATTCAATCATCCCTCTTTTACTTTAGTTCCAAGTTTCTGTAAGTACCACGCTGCAATGGATATTCTTGTGCACCTATACTTACTTGTCTTTTGATTCTTTTACTCTCAGAAGAGGGAGTGCCAGGTAGTTGGGTATATGTATTTAAAAATTTTTTAATGTTGCCAGATCTCTTTCCAAAACTGCTATAATAATTCATATAATTCACTACCCCAGAATCTAATAATTATTCACTATCTCTAGGAAGTCTTTTAATTTGATAAGATCTTGGTTTTTGTCCAACTTTAATCATTTCTTTATATGAGTCTTCTTGTTTATCCTCCCAAACTGTCATTTTTGTCATTATTATAATTGGTATTTTTTTCTAATTTCCGTTTATCTAGAGTAGAGGAAGGCTATGGTGTTGAATATTTATCATAGATCCCACCACTATTCTGAATACTCTTAACTCGTTTTTTTAAGCCATCAAGAGAAAACAGATATTCTTTTCCAATATTCATACCAATTATTTTACTTTGTTTTACTACAATTATACCTTCAAAAATATGTGTAAAATAGTAGTTGTTCTAATATAAAAGAAAAAGTATAACATTAAAATGTTGTTCAATAAGTAATGTGGACCTCCCAGGGCACAGTACTCAGCACAGAACAGACACTTAATAAATGTTTGCCAAACTAACTACTTGTGTCATATATAGCTATACTGTCTTTTATTAAACATTAAAAGGACATTCATCTCTCATAATGTTAAACTGAAAATACTTGATTAAGTTCATAATAAAATTCCAAAAACTGGTATCCAATCTTGAATTTCATTTATATCACTTCCCAGCAAGCACAAAAATACTAACCTTCAAATTCAACTGAGACTTTCCAGTGTAAGTTTTGAAGGTGACGACGAAGTTTATGGCTATTACAAGCTCTGAATTTTTCCTTAGGGCATAATGGACAAACCAGTTTGTTTCCTGATAAAGAAAAAGAACCAATAAGACACAGAGGATACTAGCTATTAATGCCTAGATTCAGCTACAAAAGAAGTAACAGGAGACCCCCAGCCCCACACCCTCTTCTTAGATAATCTCTTTCTTAGTATTAGGGGAAGTCATCTCTGCCTCAGCAAGTAGTTAACAGTAACTGTTTTAGCACATGGTCAGCGACTGATTTTTATCCTACAACTCCCCTCTCTGTGACTAGCCGATATTCTTGTTGCCACTGGGAACAGAAAGGACAAGGAAGTGATAAACTGTATGACATCCCTCCAGCCAAAATGCCTGGCAGAAAGTGTCGCTCTACTGAGGACAGGGAAAAGGCAGCAGTCGTTACACTCTCAAAGGCAGGGGCTGGGCAGAGAGCATAAGTGTCTGCTGTGGTATTCTACTCTGGCAGCAACAAAAACAGTTACCATGTGGAGTTAGGTAAATGAAAGAAGGAACTCAAAGCAATAGAAGAAATTTAACACAACTGGTATTATGAAACTGGGGGCATGGTTAGAACCACTGTATCCTATTACTGAATTTGTAAATTCTTCCCTATGAACATATTCTCAAAAAGATTATAGATTATATCAAAATAAGAGTCTAATTATTTAGAAATGTAATGAATTTCAAATAAAAACTTTGATACTATACAAAAGAATTAAAATGACAAATTCAGATTTAAAGCAATAAAAATATACAGAAATAACCAATAACTCAATAACTTTTAATCCAACAAATATCTTGCACATAAAGCACACTCCAAGTACAGGCACAATTTCTTTTTTATGTACTCTGCCTACTTCAAAAAACCATAAGGTGACAACAAGGATGGCAAAGCAGAAAGAGAGGAGCCTGGGGCACTGACGGTGCTGTGGAGCTCTCGTACCAGCCCTAAACTGCCTGCCCTGAGACTTTACACGAGAGAATACAAGCCTCCATATTATTTAAGGTACTGTTTGGGGGCTTTTTTGTTACTCATAGCCTAATGCAATTCCTAATTTATAAAATACATCGCTGTTTTATAACCATGAGATTTTAATTTCCTTGAAAAGTGGTGAAATAACTAATACCCACAGCACATTGGCATATAGATGACTTATCAATTTCCTGAATATAAAAATTTATTTTACCCCTGCTCTAGTTTAATGGAATAAACAAGTTTATTATTAGAAAATGTTTCATGAGTCGAAAGATGACAAACCATTAGAAATTAAGAAAAAAAAAAACAAACCCTCAAAACATGGAAATACCTGCATCAAGATTATCTGAGTTCAATGAACTGGCCGAGTCAAAATCCCCTTCAGTTACAAAAGCTAACTTCTCTAGATCAGCCAGCTGCCTTTGAATTGAGATGTGTCTCTCTGAAAGGAAATTTTAAGAGTTAGAAGATGATGCTTCAACAATCTGTATCCCGATTCCATTTTTATTGGATCACATCACTAAGTCTTATAGTTTTATTTCCTGCAGCATAATGCCCTAGTACCTAGATGGAGAATACTGCTGGAACTCAGTTTCTAAAATGAGAAGTGTGCCTCAGACGCAAAGTTTGGGGGAAAACTCCACTGTGGAACTTCACAGCTTTAAAACTTACCTATTTATTCAATATAATTCTACCAAAAAAAATAAAAAGTTTCTACTCTGTACAAATACTGAAGAAACATAAGCCATATTTACTAGCCTCAAAGAACTGTAATCAGGTTTAAGAGATTAACTATAACACAAGGCAGGATGAAATGAATGCTAGGGGTAAAGGTAATATAATATGGGCATACAGAGGAAGGGGTAATTAATTCCATCAAGTGCTTCTGAGAATGTCTTCACTGAAGTGGCATTTGACTGAAACTTAAGGTATGAATAGAATTTCAATAAGTAGAGATTTGGTGGCTGGCCTTTTAAACTTAACCTCATGAACAAAGGTACGTGGTATAAAAAAATACAGTCACTTCTATCTCACCCTCAACTGAATGGATAGTCGACAGAAAAATACACAGCTAAAAACGTAGTACAGATCATGGAAGGCATAAATTCAATGCAAGTTAGTTTGGCCTTTATTCCTTAGGTAAGGTTAAGTCTTTGTAGGTTTCTAAGGAAGTCAATGATATGATCTGAATGTGTTTCAGGAGAGAATTCTTTGGCTGTAGTACCAAGGATTTAATAATTGGGGTGAAAAATTAGTAATGGAAAGGTACAGAATAGAAAGTTAAAAAAAATAAAAAAGCAAAGAACTTGGGATATGAGTGTAAAGTAAGGGTGAAGAGTAAATGTACGAATGATTCTAAGATTTTGAGTTTATATGCTTAAGAATGATGGTACCACTGACCCATGAAAAAAGAGGAAAGGAAAAAGGGGAATTTAGTTTCTGACAGTCTGTTTGATGTACTGCTGGTATCCATGGACTGAAGTCCAGCAGGCAGTTGTGTTTGGAGCTCAGAAGGGATTTTAAATAGATGTCAATCATACATACATGTGTTAGGTGAAACTATGAGCATGAGTAAGAAAGCCTAAGGAAAAAATGTTGTGAAAAAGAGAAGGAAAAAGCCAAAACCCAGTCCCATTAACACATTTTCAGGTTTCTCAAATATTTTGGAAAAGAACATTTACAAGTGGGAGCCTGAATATATAAGACTAGTTGATAACTGTTAGGAAGAGATCCCCAATGAGAAAGGAGATGATGGAATAAACCATAGGGCTCTCTAATATTCATCATATAATTAGGTTATACAGTTCAGAACTTCAGCCTTTTAAATTCAATTTTTGACACTGGTACCTTCTTAATTCCTCTTAGAGATTCACTCCCAGTTCCTTTGTTTACCCTTCTATATAATCCATCCTTGTTTTGTCTCTCCTACAAATAAGCAGTAACAAAGCCGGGGCTAGGTCTTATTCATCTTTGTGAATGGCTAAGTGCCTAGTGCAGTAACTTGCACACAGCAGGCAGTAAAGTTTGTTAAATAATTTTTTAAAATAACTTTTAAAAATAATTCATCTTTTTGAATGCAGTAGCACGCTGAATCAATAATTTTGGAATTCAATTCAGTACTATCAAATATTCCTGCTCGAATTTATTAAAATACAATTTGTACCTTATTTTTAAATGAAAAAAATGAACAGCAATATGTTATTGGTCAACTCTGGTATTGTTCAAGTAATTTATGAGATATAATTCTGATAAACAGGCAAATTTTTTTCCATTTTAATTGCTAGGTCAGACAGTAAGATTCAGGCAATGAATCCATGTGTATGTATTTACTTTGTTTTTGGCTTCCATATTTCAAAGATCTGTATTGTGAAATGAGATATATAGTACAATATAAAGATGTGTTTATTGAAATCATTCTAACTGCTAAGTATAACAAAATAAGAGAAAGGGCCTGGTAAGTTAGAAAATGGAAAATCCTGTGGTCCACTACTGAAGAAGAATCCCAAAGATCTGTCTAAAGATTCTTATATCTTTGTACATCTCTGAAATCACTTTCTAGATCAAAATAGTAGATATTATACAACCTGTACTTTAATCTTTTTATCACACACTAATGATCCAGAAGTCAACAGGCAAACCTCTTATTAAAACAGATGAGTCCAAAGTACTAGGTTCTTTTACAACTTCTTCTGTTACTTTTTCCTCGTATTACAATTTTTATTTTCAATTGTTTCAGATATGCCATCTTCATCTTACCTAGTTAAGACTGACTTCAAAGCACTAACTAGACCATCTAAAAATGATTTTTAAAATGTGATTAATATATTTCTCATTTCAGATTTCCCAATCATTACATAAATTGTCCCAGTAATGCATTTTCAGTTTTCTCAAACACTGCATATTCTTCAAATTACATACTTGTAAATCTTCCCAAACTGTTTAACATATTCTTGATGGTGAGAAGGTAGAGAAAGCATGCATTCCCTAAAGCTGCTAAACCACTTCTGATTAATATAAACGGGTCTAATCTAGAGGTGAAGTAGGAAGGGTAACTTAATCAGGAGCTTGTACCCCTTTCACCCCCACTGTAGTTGTGGGTGAAGAAACTGCCCATACTTTGCACTTACTAGCTCTGATCTTATGTGATGAGGAGGGGCCTACTTGAGGCATGCAGACTGTCTTTTCTGTGATCAGCCCTACTCTTAAATCTACAATGACAATTATATGTTGTTTTAAAATTGCAATATAATTCTATCAGACTATAACTATCCAAGTGTTTTATAATAAACTCACAACTGACCAAGAAGTAGGAAAACAGTGAATTAATTTAAGATATTTTGCTATAATTCAGAAAGAGCATAGGATCAATTTATGGATCACAAAATAATTTTAAAAAACTTTCTTAGACCTTACATTTAAAAATGTTCGGAAGATTCTGACAATGTTATTAATCTTTTAGAGTCCTTTATGGTCCAATAAATCATCACTTAGAAAACATGCAAGCGCATTCGGAAGCACAATAATATGGACTATTAATTTTCAAGTTGACTTCTGATGGAATGGAATACAAAACTCAATTGGTATTATGTCTGAGGAAAGACATCCATAATTTGGTCCACTCTTTACTCATCAGCCTCAAATTCTTGTTGGAAGCAAGCTATAGAAAATGAAATGATAAAAACCCATTTCTTTTGTGTATTTCGAGGCATAAAAAGCTCGTTGACAGCAATGGTTTCTAAATCTTGACAACTAGGACATCCTACAGAAAGCAGGTTGCCTCGGTTACGGTCACTGCCACAATTTAAAGGACTTAGTGAACCGTGACTGACGAGGCTAAGGGAAACTACCAAATTAGGTGTAACTTCCTATTTTTGCACTGGGAAAAAACCTCCTTTAACGAAGAAGCCCCCAACCTCATTTTGCAGCACCCCTGGCCCCCACATAACCTTTATCATGATGTCCCCGAGGTTTGTGGAGATGCCCTCTCCCATTCTGTAACCGTTTTCCGCGCCACACGGTCCCTCCTCCCTCCCCCCATCTGTAAACCTGCCTTTCCCCCATAAAAGCCATCCCAGCGAAGAAGGGCCTCCCCAGCAGGGCGCACTTTCTTGCTTCTCCTGCGGCAGAAAGATCTGGGCCTCCTGCACTTACTGCTTTCAGCCTCGTCAGGGGCAGACGCTAGGGACGGGGACAGGGCCGGCGCCTGAGCCAGGGCAGGGACTGGGGCTGGAGCCGAGGCCGGAGTCGGAGCCGAATCCGGGGTCGGGGCCGAGTCCGGGGTCGGAGCTGGGACCCGAGCTGTGTCCGGGGCCGGGGTCGGGACCGGGACCTGGGTCACCTCCACCTCCTCCTTCTCCTGGGGTAGCAGCTCCTCCTCCGCCATATTCTCCATAGTTACCGCCTCCGTGCCAGGCCCGCCAGGGGACCGGGAGGGGCTCTCAGCGGGGTCAGAGAACTGGCGTGAGTGCCCAGAGGGCTGGATCCAAGGAGCGGGAAAGCGAATGGGGAGGGCGGGACGCGCGCAACAGACAAAAGATGAAGAACCAGGGACCAAACCCTGTCAGCAGAAAAATAATAAACCAGAGGCAGCGATTTGCTGTCCCATCCGCTTCCCTTTCCCCGAGGCATTACGACGCCACCACAGATTGCGCAGAAGCGCACTGGGGACGGCGGCCAATGAGGTAAGAGAGTTCGGTTTCCACGGTACGTCTCGGTTCCAGCCGTCAACAACCCGGCGGAACCGAGACTACAATGCCCAGGGTGCACCGCGCCGCCGGGGCGGAGCCGGAGCTGCGAGTCCTCGCAGGGAGTAAATGCAAAGCTAAACAAACGCCCCGAAGCCTTCGAGCAGCAGTCGGGATCCGAGTGCGGAACTACATTTCCCAGCGGGCTTTGGGTCCAGGGGTCTCTTTCCTTTGGCCAGGGCGTCGGCGTCGTCACTGTCTCGGGGGCTGGTAAGGTAGGTAACTGGGGGCCTCGTTGACGTTTGGCTGGACAGGCTACCCCTCTCGCTCTGGGGCCTAGCGGCCGGCCGGCCGGACTAGGGTCTCTGGGGACCGCTCGAGCATGGGGCTGGCAACTCCATGGGCGGACCCAGGGTCGAGCCAGCTCAGTGAAGGGTGTGGTTCTGTCCCGGCCCTGCTTTGGTGGCTGCCCCTCACTCCGTGTAAAAGTCTGGTCAGTTCCCGCGGAGCCCGTGGGCCACAGCGGTTTATGAGCCGCCGATGAGCTTGCCTGTCGTGACCCGAACACTTTTATTTTGTTCGTTTTTATTTTTGCTTAAATCTACGTATTCTCAGTATCAGCGCTGCGCTGTGGTGGTTAAGCGTCCAGTGGCTAGGGCTTCGGTGTGTGTCCCACGCTTGTATTTAGTCTCTTAATAACCAGAGCTCTGAGAGCGTCTGGGCACTTGATTGATGCGATTCAGGTTCCCCAAGGTATATGCCAGTGAGCCCCGTACTATTATTCTCTTTCCTTTTGGACTTGCTTGAGTTTAAGCCTCACTCATTCAAGCCCACAGGGGTAGGCAGGGTAAAAACAAACTTTTCTGGCTGCTCTGCCAAGGACAGGTCCGACCGTTACAGTGGCTATCTATATTTGTCCATCGTCCAAGAATCATTGATTTTTTTTTTAATTTCTAAAACACTAGGTGGTTAGTTGAAAGCTTGATTTAGTATGTCAGTCTTATCATTTAATACCAGCTGGAAAACAGAAAATGACGGGGTTAGATTTTAGAGTGTGCGTTCTATGGAAACTTTAGTAAGAATTTCTAAGCATGGTTCCTGCGCTGGAGACATAATAAAGAAGGAATCTTCAGAGTTTGAATTATATTAAGCGAGTGTATCACTAATCTATTGCTGCTTAAGTTTTCCCAGTGCTTAGTGGCTTAAAACAATAGTAAACATTTATTATCCCCAGTTTCAGTGGGTCAGGAATTCAGAAATGACTTTCTGGGTGTATGTGGCTCTGGGTCTCTCATGAGATTGTAGTGAAGATACCTGCCAGGGATGCTGCCGCTGCCACGTGAGGACTGATTAGGGCTTTAGGATCATCCTCATGGGTGACTTATCGAGCAGTTGGTTCTTTTTTGGCAAGACACCTCAGTTCTTCCCTAGTGGGCTACTTGTATGTCCCCATGTCATGGTGGCTGGCTTTCTCTAGAATGAACAATTCAAGACAGAGAAGGGCAGAAGCCACAATATCTTTTATGACCTAGCCACATACCACCATATAGCAATATCCTATTGGTTGTATAGGTCAGCCCTGTGTATTGTTCAAGAGTGTCATTAGGAGTCAGCAGGGATCATCAGGAATCATTTTGGTGGCTGGCCAGGACAGGAGGTCTCCTCTCATTTAGTTTATATTTTGATTTTCATAAAATCAATATGAATTTCACACTGATATAAAGCGCTTGTCATGGTAAACATATAGGTGTTTTTCCTTCCATAGTCCATTATCAGCAGTGTGTGTTTGTTTGTTTTTCAGTTTGTCTTGTGGGTAAGAGGTTTAAATTAATGTTATTTTGTATTCAAAGCAACATCAGACCAACATGGATCAAATTTAAATTATGAAAAAAATAACATAACCAGACCATTGCCTCTAAGCAATTCACTTTATGGAAGTTATTGTTTTCTTTATTGTATCTCTCCTCCCCCCGCACCCATGCCATGGAATGGAATCTTTGGAACAAGAAAGAGTAAAGAGGATGATTAATATGGAAGGTCAACCATTAATTCAGTTATTGCCATAAATTATCTTGCAAAGCAAAATTTCTGTGTAATTTAGAATCTTCTTAGAAGTCTGTTGAATATTCTTTTATTAATATTTATTAGATTTTCTAATAGCATTTTTATCCTCTTCATATTCATCAAAGCATTCTAAAAGTTTAATTTCATATAATTGATCATTCTTTCATAGAACTTCACTTACTGTGCTCATGATTGACCAGGAGTAATAGCAATTGCTTGGTTTCTAGCCTTCGTTGTGTTCATAATCTCAATATGCGTCACTTCCAGCAATAAACTCTCCCTTGGGCTTTGCTTCTAGACCTCTTTTATATTTTCCTGTTCCAGCACAGGATGCTTTTGGTACACACTAACTCGACAGAGTGTTTATGGCTGTGAAGAATAACTATGTTTGTCTTACTGCTGGTTTTTTTTTATTTTTTATTTTTTGGTGCGTGCGGGGGTTGGATGTCAGCAGCTAATAATATTGACTTGATCCAGAGCTGAGTTGGAAAAGTGAGGCCGGGATGGGAAGTGGACAGAGAAACTGCAATGGGCAGGAGTTGGTAGTGGTTCAGAATGATACAGTAAATATTCTGAGGAAGAAAAATTCATTCATTCACTCAACAGGTATTTATGAGCACCTCCTAAGTTTTTAATACAGCATACTCTTCAAAGAACTCAGGATCTAGTAAAAAGACAACCACATAAGCCACTATTTAGACCCTATTATGCTCTACCTTATTATACAAGGTATTTTTTTATAACCATTTTATTTGAGTCCCTCAAAAACCTTTTGGTATAGGTTATTGCTATTTTACATATAATGAAACTGGGCCTCAAAAAAAATGTATGTGATTTGCCTGAAGTCTCGCTCAGTGAGTGATAGAGGGTATGAAGGAAAATGAAGGAAAATAAAGACTTATGACTAATTGGTTTTGAGGTGTAAGTGAGGTAAAATACAGTAGTCCTGCAGACAGTTAAAAATGGTGATCTGTTGCTTGAGAGAGAAATCAGCGCTAAAGGCATAGTTTTGAGTCATTTCTAAAAAGGTAATAATCGAAGCTGAAAGAGAGGAACAGATCATTATGAAGGAGACTATAAGTGAAGTAAAGTGGAACAGTGAGGAACTCCTGTCATCTTGGGAATGGTTAGAAAATGGAAATCTTTATATAACTGAAACAAGAATAATTTCTAATGTATTTTTGTTGTGGTGGTAAAAAACATATGTTTTTAATGTCTACTTTAGCTTTTCAAAATGTCCAAAGAATCTTGTGGAAAAAGAGAGAAGTCTCGGAGAAAAGGCACCACCTCATTACCCAACTTTGATGAAGAAGTAAGGATTTTGATTTACTGACCCAAAGATCCCCTTGTTTACATTTTATTTGTACTTAATGCAAAAATACACCTCTGTTTTAAAATGGGATATATAAGTAATTTGTTCTGTCCTTATGGCCCAGGAGAAGGCATTTATTTTTCCTATTCTTTACTTGCATTATTTTATTTATTCCTCACAACTCTATGAGGTAGGTGCTTTTATGGTCTCAGTTATACAAATGAAGAAACTGAGGGTTAGGGACATAAGTAATTTGTCTAGACATTCCTGCCTTCATTTCTAAACCTCTCCCAAATCCTTTTTGTAGAAATAACTCACCATTAGAGCATTTTTCACCTCTTCCTCCTGCATTTGGATACAATTACATGCTTGCCAGTCAGAATGGCTGTGCAGGGGAGGCTAAGGGTAGGGAGGGCATTGGTCTTCATGTCCCTTTTCCTGATATAGTCAGCACACTACCTTAAGAAGTGTTTTGGTAGATGAAATTTATGATATCTAAGTAATTGAGCTGGGTGTTGTCTCCAGGAAGCAAGACGGTCACGTGATGGATGTAACCAAAACAAAATACCCTGCAATCGGTTTTATTATAAACTCTCTCTGAATAGTCTGCATAATGCATTATCAGAATTAGATAGTGTTTATGCTATATTACCATCCAAGATGAGAGACTGAAGTCTGGCAAAGGTGAATATTCACTAAAGTGATTTCTGTGGTAGCAGGTTAGTTCATACAGCTTTTTCATTACTTCAATGAAGTATTCTAGAGATCATTACACTTTTTGGTGTTTATTCCTTGCTTACTATGTTTCTGATTACTAATTTGGCCTCCCAGGTATAGTGGTAATTGGAAAAGGGACCCTAGAGCGGCCATAGAGTACTCTGGTGTTCTCGATTTATGTTTCTCCTATTTGATAGTAATAATTGGCATGGTGTTTGCAATTCTCCCATTCCCTCTTTACTTACTTAAATGAGAGTTTTTCTTGCCCTCACTTCTCCAGAAATGTTCTCATCAAGGCCAGCAACGGTTTCCACGTTGCTAAATCCATTGGTCAATTTGCAGACCTCGTCTGATTTAGTCAATAATGTTTGACATAGCTTCTCCCTGAAGCACTTTCTTCACTTAGCTTTTGAGACACCATACTCCTCTGATTTCACTCCTCACTGGTGAGTTCCCAGTGTCTTTTTGCTATTTCTTCCTCATCTTCTTGAACTATAACCTTTTAAGTGCCCAGACGCAGGTTTTCCAATTTGGTAAATTGCAGTTCCGTTCTTTCAGTTGCTTGGTCCAAAACCCTCGTGCTCCTCGTCTGTCTGCGCCCAGTCTATCAGCTAATTCTGCCGGCTTTCTCATAATCACATATTCAGAGGCTGACTACCTCCTCTGCTGCTGTCACCACGATCCAGGCAATCGACTCGATTTCCTAGATTATTCCAATAGTTTCTAAATTGATCTCCTCGCTTCTGCCTTTTTCTCCTTATGTACTTTTCTCAACACAGCTGCTAGAATGATCCTATTAAAATGTAAGTCAGATCCTGTCACTCCTCTATTCAGTACTGTCTAGTAGTTTTCCACGTCAACCAGAGTAAAAGCTAAAGTACTTTTTGGGGCTGACAAAGTGACCTACTCTCCCCACCTCATCTCCATCTCATTCTCCCTTTACCTTCTACACTCTGTGGCTTCCTTCTCTGTTGCAATAAGCCGGGCCCAT